AAAGTCGGGCACACCGCCGGGGGCGCCGCCGCCAGCCGCGTACAGCTTTTGCATGATCGGGTTGGCCACGCCTTCGAGCTCCTTTTGCTTGGCTTCGTACTCCTCCTTTTCGGCCGATTGGTTCGCGTCCAGCCAGTTGATCGTCTCCGTCACCTTGTCGTCCACGACCTTCTTGTCCGCTTCGTCCAACTTGCCCTGGAGCTTCTCGTCGTTGAGCGTGTTGCGCAGGTTGTACGCGTAGTTTTCCAGCCCGTTCTTGGCTTCGATGCGCAACTTGTTGGCTTCGTCCTCCGACTTGTACTTTTCCGCTTCTTGCACCATGCGCTCAATGTCGTCCTTGCTCAAGCGACCCTTGTCGTTCGTGATCGTAATCTTGTTCTCCTTGCCCGTCGACTTTTCGATCGCAGACACGTTCAAGATCCCGTTCGCGTCAATGTCGAACGTCACGTCCACCTGCGGCACGCCGCGGGGCATGGGCGGGATCCCGTCCAACCAACGAAAACTTGCCCAACAAGTTGTTGTCGCGCGTCATCGAGCGCTCGCCTTCAAACACTTGGATCAGCACACCCGGCTGGTTGTCCGCGTACGTCGAAAACGTCTGCGACTTCTTCGTCGGCACCGTCGTGTTGCGCTGGATCAGCGTCGTCATCACACCGCCGGCCGTTTCCAACCCGAGCGACAACGGCGTCACGTCCAACAACAACAAGTCTTGCAACTTCTCCGAGCTGTCGTTGCCCGACAAGATCGCGGCTTGCACGGTCGCGCCGAACGCCACGGCTTCGTCGGGGTTGATCGACTTACACGGCTCCTTGCCGTTGAAGAAGTCAGACAACAACTGTTGCACCTTGGGGATACGGGTCGACCCGCCCACAAGCACCACTTCGTGCACTTGGCTCTTGGACAACTTCGAGTCGCGCAACACCTTCTCCACAGGCTCCATCGTCTTGCGGAAGTAGTCACCGCACATGTCTTCGAAACGCGCGCGGGTGATCGTGCTGTTGAAATCAATGCCGTCGAACAACGAGTCGATTTCAATGTACGCTTGTGCCGACGACGACAGCGTGCGCTTGGCGCGCTCGCAGGCCGTGCGCAGACGGCGGAGGGAACGTTGGTTCGCGGTCATGTCCTTGCGGTGCTTACGCTTGAACTCAGCCGTGAAGTGGTCCACCAAACGGTTGTCGAAATCTTCACCACCCAAGTGCGTGTCACCGGCAGTTGCCTTCACTTCAAAGATGCCTTCTTCGATCGTCAACAAAGACACATCAAAGGTCCCGCCGCCCAAGTCGAAAATCAACACGTTGCGTTCGCCACCCTTCTTGTCCAAACCGTACGCGATGGCGGCGGCCGTGGGTTCGTTGATGATACGCAACACGTTCAGGCCAGCAATGGCACCGGCGTCCTTGGTCGCTTGGCGTTGCGAGTCGTTAAAGTACGCAGGCACCGTGATGACGGCGTTGTTCACCGTGGAACCGATAAACGCTTCCGACACTTCCTTCATCTTGATCAACACCATCGACGAGATTTCTTCGGGCTGGAACGTCTTGGTTTCGCCCTTGAACTCGACCGTGATTTGCGGCTTGTCGCCGGAACCTGGCGTCACCTTGAACGGCCAGTGCTTGATGTCGGCTTGGATCACAGGGTCGTTGAACTTGCGGCCGATCAAACGCTTGGCGTCGAACACCGTGTTGGTCGGGTTCATCGCCACTTGGTTCTTGGCGGCGTCACCGATCAAGCGCTCGCTGTCCGTGAATGCCACGTACGAAGGGGTCGTGCGGTTACCTTGGTCGTTGGCAATGATTTCCACGCGGTCATTCTGCCATACACCCACGCAGGAATAGGTCGTGCCGAGATCGATACCGACACTTGCGCCTTGGACTGCAGCCATGATTGTTTGTTTACCCAGATCAAATGAAATTGAAAAATGAAAACAGACTGTTGCCCGACATGCCTTGAAATTCTCGAAACTTCGATACCTACACTCTGGATCACATATTTCTCGAAAGGGCAAGATTTCCACGGATCCACTAAGATTTGATTTGAAATTTGTATAGTTATAGTGTTTGAAACCTGTAGAAGTCAGTCACCCAAGAAGATGCGAGAAGCGACCGATAGCTAATGCACCTTGGCCTGTCTAGTGACAGCTCATGGCGATGATGAACCAGAAGCATGCGTACTGCATAGGTGTATCCAGCGTCAGAAGATTGACAGGACTTGTACGCCAGGAGGTGGAGAACGATGGAATCGATAGTGCGAATGCATGGGTGGTGAGTGATCATGCAGGACATGGCGGCATGAGAGGACAAAAGATCGGAAACCCCGAAACCCCGGCGCCATGTACGAGGTTAGGAAGGACCGACGAAACTCCATAGCAACGCACTGTAGCTATAGGCGAGACCTTCCATCGACTAAAGCTTCAGTGAGTTAGTTGCTTGTCCGTAGTAAGTGTATGGCGCCGATATTTTAGGCATGCAAATTCCTCATATTTGGAAATCTATTTTATACTTAATAGAATGTATTGAAAATTAAAACTTTCAATTTATATTAGACCTCGTACTACTTCCACACGATCCACACCGCCATGGACATCGACGGTGCGTCACATCACGTTCAACCTCCGCGATGCTTCGTCGACTTGATTGCCCCCTGAAGTGTATTCATCTATGTAGATGAAGTGATTCGGCAGCGCCTCTTGACCCGGACGACGATCGTGGGCAAGTCCATGATGAAGCGCACGGCGGACTGCCTCTTCTCGTTCCTCGACAGCACGGGGCAATTGGACCGGTACAACGACGACTTCCTCTCCAATCCCCCCAAGAAGTCCAAGCCGACGTCCCTCGGGAAGAAGCGAGCCCAGGAGGAGATGGACAACTTTCTATGGGAACTGGAGTTGCTGCAAGTGGAAGCTCAGCGGACCAAGTTGCTCGTGTTTACGTGCGAGCGCGAGTTGGAAGCATATGCGACCTTGCACGACGAGATCGACAAGTCCATTTTGACCGTCACGAGCGACATAGATCGGCTCAAGGGTGTTGTCGCCAACGAAAAGATCATCCGCTCGTACAAGGAAGAGTACGAGACGGCGGCGCGTGTGGTGAATGAAAATGCGTCTGCGAAACAGAGCGCCGAGGTAGTGGAAGGCCTTGAGGACCAACTGCGGTCGTCCACGGAGGCGTTGCAGGCCATCACGGACCGCATCGATCTCAAGTCGAAGGAAGTGGCGCTGTTGCTTCGTGCCATTCGCGACCTTGAGAGTGATCATCGTGATCCAAGCGACGAAGGGAACAACACACCAGACCAAGATGGAAAGGACGACCCGGAGCAAGATGCCGAGTACGAGAGCAAGCACACCGACGAGAAGCAAGCACATGTCGCGGCTGAGGCCTCTCCGCTGCAAGAAGCCGACGACGACGCGGCCCCTGAAGCATCTCCACCGCCTCCTTCATCCTCCAAATCCTCCTCCAAGTCCCATCGCCATCGACACCGTCATGACAAACCGTCTTCTTCTTAAGTATCTACTTTACAAATGTCTTCGTATTCGACTTGGGGCAACGTCCGACCCCTACACACAACAAAAACTGAGAAAAAATAGAAAGGAAAAAACGAAACTGTACTTTTTCGGGCCGGATGTGAGTTGAATTGCCGCGCAGAACGCGCGTTCGTCGATGGACACGAGCGTCGCGAGCGCACCGCGCCCGATGCCGTTGACGACGCGCACAGGACGTCCCACGAGCGGGATGACCGTTTCCAAGTCTTCCTACTCCATCATCATGACAACACCCGCATGCACATTCCAGGGAACACACCTGATCCAGTCGAAGCACATCCCGCGACTCGAGCATGCGCACTTCGGCCACATACGTGTCGTGAACGCGGACGACAAGGCCTTTCTGCTTGTAGTACGCTCCGTCGCCCACATCCTTGTCCATGACCTTGACCACGAGCCCAGGTTGAATCCAGTGGTCCAATCGGTTCGCGCGCTCGTCGTCTTCGTCTCGCCGTAGCCGTTTCCGCGTCTCTTCTTCCATAATCGCATCCACCGCGCTCCGCTTGCCGCCTTTCCAGGACGTTTCGTGGTCGAGCGATGATGAGGGTGCTCCGTCCTTGCCGCTTTTGTCGTCAACGTCTTGTCCAAAGGCAGATTGTATCGACTTCTTGGACTCGACCGACGCTAGTTTGGACTTGGACTCGAGCTTCAAGCTCATCGAGACCTTCTCCACGCGGGGTTGATGCGCGGGTTTGTTCTCGTCGTCGTCCTGTCCAAACTTTGCTTGCGCTTCCTTCACCTGCGCTTGAATGAACCGCCGATTCCGCTCCTCGTGATCTAAGAGCGCCTGACGCTTCCGCTTCAACTCTTCCTGTCGTGCCATGGCCACAGGGTCGTTGTTGATGTACTGGATGAACCACCCCTTCTCCGTCTCGTCCACGACACACTTGCCCGTCTTCCCCAAATACTGGACGAATCCGCTCAGTGTCGTCCATCGCGTCGCGTTCATGTGCACGTGGTTCTTGTCCCGAATGTACTCGTTGTACACGACGTGCGCACTCACGCGCTTGGTCGTGTGCGACCGCCGCAGGTTTTCCAGAAATGACCGTTCAAACTGCTCGCTGTACCCTTGAATAAACTTGGTTGGGTTGCTGGCCACGATGAGCATCTGACGTTGATGCGAGTCGCTCGACGTGTGGGCTTTGAACCCGTTCTCATCGCGGCACTGCTTTTCACACACTTGGCAGTACCATCGCAGCCGCTGCAGCCCCTTCGACTACAGGACGACACATGCTTGAGTTCATGAAGGAGGATGACGTCCTCTTCAAGAGGACATACGTACCTTTTGGCGATTCGCCACCGCCTTTGGTGTCATGAAGTCATGCTTGGCCATGTCTCGCCGATGCTTCGAAAATGCGGTCGTATCCGAACAAAAAACAGTATCCGGATTTCTACAATTCCATCATTATCCGGAAATTACTTCTGTTCCACTTTACCGTACAATTTCGAAATGGACCAATCAAAACCCACTATGATATGGGCAGTTCAAATTATTATCGTTTTGCCACGAATCCCATCATTCTCAGGAGTACTTGCTCACGCGCCGACGAAAGTCGGCCTTCGGGATCAAGTTTACCTGTTCATACTGCCCGCTATCTTCAGCATCAAGACGCCATGCCGTTTCTGGTATGGTGGTCACGTGCTTAATACATTGCATGGTGACCTGCGCTTGGTTTGCGAGTGTTGAGGTGGAATTGCATCATGCATCATAGAGTAACGTAACATACCCCGGCAGTCCCAAGCTACGTGTATACACGCGGGCGTACACGATCCTTGACATACACAGCGAGACTACTTCCTCTCCAGCTTCGTAGTTCTGATAATCTACAGTCTTTGGGCTACAACTACACAAGAAAGGCCAACTAGACACAGGCCCTTGAGGTTCATTGTTGGGAAGGTCGTCCGCAACACTAAAAAGTTTCTACTCCGTTTTCGTGTCTCCTCATGCCAAACTAGGTATTAGCAGCTCAATATTAACTTTACATTTATAATAGTGTGTGTAGCTCTAAGGCACTTGCATTGTATATGACCATGTATATTTATTCTATAACGTTAATTGAAGAATTGAGCACTTGACGCAGTAGACGCAACCCGCATGTCGACTATAGCATCGACGAACCCGAAGATCCAGCATGTGATGTCTCGCTATCACGATGTCGCAGGAATGGGGTTCATCTGCGACAATGTGAAAATAATCGTACGCTTGATGTCCACGATCATGCTGGCATCTGTGGCCAAATGTCATACATGTAGGAAGAAGACGCCAAGTCGTTCGACATTGACTTGGAACCATGCCCCGACCGTTTCAAGGAATCCCCGAAATATGTGCGACGAAAGTACCTCAAAAGCATTGTACTTGTCCATGTTGCACATGGTTTTACTGTTGTGAAATGTCCATTCCGGTGAGGCTCAGTCTTCAGTCTTAACTTGTGTAACGCTACTGTCTTAGTAGTACTGTACTGGTGTACAATTCGTGTGTCCTGGGCTTGCTGTTTCTAGGTCGTCTATTATTGTTTGAATAACGTTACCAAATCGAGTATTGCAGTGGATCATGTATTAGCGACTGAAGACTGAGTCTCGCCGGAATGGACATTTCAAAATAGTAAAACCATGTGCAACATGGACGAGTACAATGATTGGCTAGAACGTGAAACGGACATACAGTGTAGCCAATCAATATGCAGCACTCTATCCAGTAGTGGGGTATTGAATTTTACTGCAGTACAGCTTTGACCACGTCACCGCAACAACACACAATATAGTGATTCGATTACAGTACTCTCCATCGCAGCATGTTCCCGACGTGTACACGCGCGTGCTGCTGTCGACGAAACTCCCCTCCCCATCGTCACAGTAGTCGACAGGGTAAACAATTCATACCCACCGAGCGTACGTCAGAGAATCAAGATAGATAGCTAAAGAGTGGCCAAATACGCTACAGTACGTAGGTACAATATTTATATGGGTACTAACTTTTGGTTAAATCTCAATGTCTCGTCGTTGCGGCGGTCGAATGTGTCGCATGGTAGAGCCTGAGAGTGTAGGTTTGAACGGCGCCGCTTGTCCATATGGTTTGGGAATGCCGAGTTCGTCCGGTACGTATGCGTTTGGTCGGGGGTCGGCGGTGGTGCGCGTGATCATGTGGGCCGTGTGGTTGTTCTGGTGCTGTTTGGCCATTCGCTGGCTTTCGAGTCGATGGGATTCACGGCGGTACCACTCTTGCTCGCACTTAGCGTTAGGTGCGTTGCCATTTTCAAAGTTCCAAATTGACTCTTCCAACTCGAGCTGGCGGTCGTGCTTTTCCTGCTGCAGCTTCATGGCCGTAGCTTGAAACATGCTCAGCTCCGACACCGTCGCCATCATCTTGCGCGTCGTGTCCTTGATCTTGACCTGGAACGTGTTGACCTTCTTGGCCAGCTGCAGCGTATCGCCGCGCCCTTCCGACGCCTGTGCGCGCAGTTTGTCCGACAAGTTGGTCACTTCTTCGAGTACGAGTTCCTTCTCCAGCAGCTGCTCCTTCTTGATTTTGTACCGTTCGTCCAAGAACGCGAGCTTGGCGCCGAGCTGATCTTCGTCCGGGTCATCGCCTTCCAGCGGCCGCCACCGGTCGGCATTCTGCGGGGTCTCCAGGTCCCGACACATCATATCCGTGACTACCTGCTCCTGCTTGAGCTGGTTCTGCATGTCCAGCACCCGACTCGCATATTCCGGCACGAGCGGCACCTTGTTCCTCGTGGTTTCAATCTGGCGCTGCAAGTCCAACAGCTTGATGGTCAACATGCGACTCATCTGGTCCTTCTCCTGGATCGCGAGCTCACCGTCCGTGAGCGTCTGCGCCTGGATGTTACTCTTCTCGTACAGAATGCACAGCTCGTCGTTCCGGTCAATCAAGTGCACGCCCGTGGAATTGCGCGCTTCGACCGCGACCTCGTACTTTTTCTTCAACCGGAGCATGTCCTTCTCGGTCATGTTGATGATCGAGTTGAGTTTGTCGATTTGAACAATCTGCTGCTCGACTTGCTCCTGCTTGACTCGGTACAGTTCGTGGCATTTGTTCGTGTCCAGACGGAGGCTGTCGCGGCTACACTGCGCCGTCTGGTGCGCCAGTCGCTCCTTCGTGAGCGCTTTGTCCTTGGCCAAGCTTTCGTTCCGCAGCACCTCCACTTCGTTGTGCAAGATCTTGATCTTCTCCTTCATCTCGGCGAGCGCTTGCGAACTTGCTTGGATCAGATTCACGTACTTATTGCGCTCGTTCTTGACAATATCATATAACGCGCTAAACTCTTTAAGCCGGTTGTTGGTTTCATTGCACTTTTTCGCAAAGTCCAAAATCACCAGCTCCTTCATCTTGAGCTGTTGGTGGATCTCCTTTTCGTGGTCCACCGCCGACGACGCCGCGCGCGCCTTCATCTCGCGCTGCGCACTCAGCAGCGTGATGATCTTGTGCTGCTTGCCCTCCTCGGCGATCCACTGACTGAGCTCTTCCTCGAGTTCGGCCACGCGCGCCGTCAGCGCCTCCAGTTCCTCCACGTGCCTCGCTTCGACGCCGTCCATCTTGAACATGCGAGCGATCAGGACGTCCACGTCTTGCTTGAGGTCGGCTTGGTCGGCGACCATCTTCTTGTTGTCGCTTTGAAGCGCCCGGACTTGGTGCTCGGCGTCACTCACTTGCACTTGCATGTTGGGCAGCAGGCCTTTGGACGTGTCGGCCGCCACCTGTTTCTTCTTGAGCACCTTTTTCACGCGATCAAACTCTTTTTGCAGCGACGCCTGCCGCTCCGACTCGCGCCGGATGTTGGCCTCGGCCGTGCGCTGGTCCATCTCGAGCTTGGCTTTTTCCCCTAGACGAACAGTATGGCTGTGTTTTTCTTCGGCCAGCAGCATGTTGACGTGATCAACGTCTCGCTGCCGCTGGTCGATCGTGTCGCGGTGCACGTCGAGCTTGTGGCTCAGATCCTTCTGCACCTCGTCCGCGTCTTTGCGCTTGGCGTCCTGCGCCGCCAATGCCATGTCCACGTCGCCCAGCTTAGCCTTTATGCGCTTGAGCTCCCCGTCCAGGTTCTCCACTGCCTTGGCCACAACGTCGGCCTGTTTACTGATGCGTTCGGGGTCGCCTTTCAGCTTAGCGAGCACCTTCTTCTCGGCGGCGCGAGCCACGTCGAGCCCGTCGTTGGACACGCGGAGGACATCGCACCGCGCGAGCATCTCGCCCTTCCGCCGCTCCTCCTTGTGAATATCGCTCTCGGTGCGCGTGGCCTCGTCGGCTAAACGCGCGATGTCGTCTGTGATCTTGCGCACCTCGGGCTCGACCTGCCGCGCATTTTCCCGCAGCATAGCTTCTTTGCGCGCCAACAACTCGGCATGTTCTCGCTGGAGCTCGGTGATCTCGTACGTGAGAATGGTCTCCCGGTCCACGCAGTCGGCCAGCTCCTTAGACGCTTTGTCCTTTTCTTTCTCCAAGTTGGTGTTCATCGCCAACTCTTCGCTCTTGCGGATGCTCTGCTTCTCGAGACGGATTTTCTCGGATAAGAGTTCCCCGTTCAGTTGCTTAGCCTTCTTCAGCAACTCCTTTTCCCGCTTATACGTCTCCAGCACGAACGACGACAACTTGGAGTACCGTTCTTTGTGAATCGCCGCGGCCGCGGCCGTGAGCACCCCGTCTTCCACGTATTGGTCGATCACGTGCAAGGCCGCGCTGTTCGAGTTTGTCACGGCCGACCCATCGGCGTCTCCGCTTGGTGGGGCAGCATCACTCATGGACGAAGGTGATGGCAGGTGCTCGTAGCCGCCGTTGTGGCTCGAGTGTCGTGTGCGTCCTTGCTCTTGTGGTGAAGCCGGCAATGTAACCGATTCCACCGAAACGGACTATGCTGGTTTGAAACACGTTCGAAACTGTATTTAAAATAAAATATACTAAAGTATTTGCATCGTACTCCTGGAGTATACAATGGTTTAAAAAACAAATAAAAAAAGGACTGCATGTTCTTTTGATATTCGTGTCCTTTCTTATCCGGATGATTTACTCGAAATTAGATCTGGTGTCGTCATTTCCTGAAAGAGAGGCGGGGAAGATAGACAGACGGGGTACATCAAGATGGAAGAGCCCAAGGTAGAAGCTGCGGAGAGGGAGATGGAAGTATCATCTCTTGCCCAGCTGGTTCTGGACATCAGTTGCTCCTTCCTGCAGATCGGCAAGTCCACGCGGTTGACAGGGGACGACGGCGACTTTTACGCGGTCGAGGCGGAAGCGTTGGGGTTGGAAGTAGATGTATTGCGACAATTCATCCAAGAGTCGCACTTGCGTGTGCTGCGTGTATTGCGGCGCGACAGCGGGGACGGCGTGAAGCTGTCCCTCGAAAGCGGTGAGAAAGACAAGCCGAAGGCGAAGCGGCAGAAAGTGCCGACGTTTTGTCTCATCAAGACATTGAAAACGCGCGAAAAACTCACGCAGGGGGCGCCGCTGAACTCGCAGCTCCAGCTGGTGACGCTGGGCACGGAGGACATTGGGACGTTGGTGACGTTCGTGCAGCACTCGTTTGCCCCGCTCTTGCAGGCGCAAGAAGGTCACGAAGACGACACCGGCATGTCGAGCCAAAACAAGCGCATGCCACTGATCCGAAAACGATTGAAGGAATTGGAGGTGGCGATGGTGCAGTTCCAGAACAACGTCGAAATCCCGGACGTGGACCTGAAGATCCACCCCGACATCCAGGTCGCTGCGGACGCGTGGCGCAACTCCAAGCAAACGGGGAGCATCGACGTGGACGCACTGGGGTTCACGGACCGTTTGAACGACACGGGGTTTCTCAACGAGATCCAGGCGGGGGTGAATCGGTGGATCAAGGAGATCCAAAAGGTCACGACGTTGGTACACGAGCCCGTGGCGACGTCGGCGACGCAAGAAGTCAACTTTTGGTGCGATTTGCACCGCGCGCTTTTAGCGACCCAGACGAAGTTGACGTCGGCCGAGGTGGAAATCACGCTTGCAATCCTCAAGCAAGCCAAGCGGTACCTGGTCACGGTAACGTTTGCCGCGGACCACGGCCTCGGCGGCGCGCTCAAGACCGTGGCCAGCGTCATGAACTTGATGAAGGACTTCAGTTTGCACGCGATTCTGTCGGCCACGGATATCCCCCAGATCACCGTGGGCATCAACGCCGTGTACGCGCAGCTGAAAAAGGTGCGGCTCGCAGACGAGTACAAGCTGAGTCGCGTGCTATCGCTCGTGGAGCTCGTGTCCACCGACGTCAGCGTCCAGCTCTCGACGGTTCTGCGCACGACCAACTTGTTCCAGATCGCCTTTGACCAGTTTGACGCGATCGCCACGCACTGCCACGACCTGTTTCTGACGTGGCACCGCCAGCACCACGCATTCCACGAACTGGTCAAAGACTTGAGCAAGCGGCGCGGCACGGCCGCCACCGACAAGGTGCGGTCGCTTGCCGAGATGCAGCTCGACCATTTGGCCATCGAAGAGCGCATGAAGGACCTCCACGAGTTCCGACAACAGCACGACCGGCTGCGCGTGGTGATCCACCGCGTTTTGGCCAAGACACCAGATGCGGCGACCTCGGAAGACATGCTCGGCGACATCCACGGCGCGTACATGCAGTGCACGTCGTCCGTGGACGTGTTTGATGTGAGCGTGGACGGGTCGGATGCATGGAAGCAGGCGCGCAAGACATATGATTTATGCATCGACCGGGTCGAAGGCAGCATCATCCACAGCCTCACCTCGCGGCTCCACAGCACGTCCACGGCAGACGACATGTTCCGCGTCTTCTCCAAGTACAACCCTCTGTTTTTCCGGCCCCGGATCCGCCAAGCCGTGCAGCAGTTTCAGATGCGATTGATTGAAAACGTCAAGGAAGACGTGACCGACCTCCAAGCCAAGTTTCGCGCGCATTACACGTACTCGGAGGCGTCGCGGATGAGTAAACTGCGCGATATCCCGCCCATCGCTGGCGCCGTCATGTGGAGCAAGCAGATCGAGCGCAAGCTGCACATGCTTTTGTCTCGTGTTGAAAGCGTGCTGGGCAAAGGATGGGAGCAGCACGTCGAAGGCAAAGCGCTCAAGCAAGTGTCGGACGCGTTCCTGACCAAGTTGGACGCACAGGTGATCTTTGACCACTGGGTCCAAGAGCTTGTATCTGTGCCTACGTTTGATGTGCGCAACATCGTGCTGAATATCGTGTCGAAACAGCACCAGCAACCTTTGCCAGCCACTTTAGAACACGACGACGGAGTCGACCGAGATCTGAGCGTAGCGTTCAACCACCAGATTGTAACCTTGTTCAAAGAAGTTCGCAACCTGGAATGGCTCGGGTACCGCGTGCCGTTTACACTCAAGATGATCGCAGAAGACGCCAAGGACAAATACCCCCACGCCATGTCGCTAGACGCAAGCTTGAAAGCGTACGCGAGTGTTTGCAAACGCATCAAACCGGCATTCGAAACACTCTGTGCGTCGTTTGTACGCCAAGTACGCACGACGATCGCCAAGACATTTACCAAGGACAATGAGATTCGATGGCACGCCGATCACTTGGCCGAGTACGCGCTGGATTTAGCGACCAAGGTCGAATTGCTCTGCGACAAGGTGGACGAGTTGGGCCGCAAGCAGCTCGAGATTGAATCCCACGTCGATGCCATGCGCCGCACAGGAGGCGACCCGTCGCTTCAAGCGTCGCTGGAACGCATCCAGGCCACCGTGGACGAGCTCAACCTGGCAGGGTACTCGAACCTGCCCGTGTTTGTCAAGCAGCTCAACCACACGATCGGCACGGTCTTGGCCGAGCGACTCGAGCGCGAGCTGCGACACTGGGTGTACGCGTTCACCACCGACAGTCATCCCGTGGACCACGACCACTTTAATAACGTTGTCACAGCCCACCAAGTGCTGCTGCAGAACCAACAGCTCGTGCTACAACCATCCGTGGACCAAGCGCGGTCGCAATGGCTCGCGCAGCTGGAGCGAATGGTCGCAGCCGTGTGCACTTTGGACAAGATCAACAGCGCAACGTACGACGCATTCAACAAGCCAGCAGCGGCCAGCGCATCATCTTCGCCCGTCCGCCGCCGGCAAAAACGCAAAGATCAGTGCTTCCAAGACGTGTTGGCGTTGCTACCGCGGGGGTTGTTACTCGAGGCATATGAAACGCTGCTGCACAAGCTGCACTTGATGGACCAGTACGTGCATACGTGGCTGCAGTACCAAGCGCTGTGGGATATGGACGCGCAGCGGGTGATTGCAAGCGTGGGCGACCAAGACCTTGCCAAGTGGGAGCAACTGGTCGTGGAGATCAAGCGCGAACGCACGATGTTCGACTCGGTGGCGACCACCAAGTGCTTTGGCCCCATGAGCGTCCACTTTCACCAAGTCCAAGCCCAAGTGAACGTCAAGTACGACCTATGGCACACGGAGTTTTTGACGTTCTTTGGCGATATGCTGAGCGCGCACATTGCCGCGTTCTACGCCCAAGTGTCGACGAAGCGCACGACGTTGGAGCAGCATACCCTCGAGGCGGCCACGTCCCACGTCGTTGCGACCGTGACCATGGTGCAAGACCTGCGCGCGCACGCGGTGACGTGGCAGCACCAGATGGACGCGTTCAGTAGCGGCGAAAAGGTGCTGAAACGGCAGCGGTTCAAGTTCCCGTCGACGTGGCCCGAGCTGGGCAACGTCCAAGGTGAGTGGGCGGCGTTCTTGCAGCTGCTCCAGCGCAAGACGGACGCGATGGAGAGCCAGCTGCCGCAGCTGCAGGCCAAGATCATCGACGAACACGCGAGTCTCGTGGCCAAGATCCACGCGACGATCGCCGACTGGGACGCATCCAAGCCGCTCCAAGGGGGCGTCGTGGCTCCGAAAGTGGCTCTAGAACGCCTTGTGGTGTTTGACTCTCGACTGGCGTTGCTCGCCCACGAAAGCCAGCAGATGGACGCCGCGCGCCGAGCGCTCAACCTCGTGGGTGGTCGGCAACATGACGACAACATGATGACCGACGACAAGACTGGTTTGCAGCGCACGATGGACGAGTTGACGGGGCTGCGCGAAGTGTGGGAGCAGCTCGCGGCCGTATCTGCCCGACTGGACGAGCTAAAGGACACGCTATGGAGCGCCATCCAGCCGCGAAAGCTGCGCAAACACTTGGACGATGTGCTGGACATGCTCAAAGCGTTCCCGGCGCGCATGCAGCAGTACGAAGCGTTCGAGTTCTTTATGGCTACAGTGCAAGCGTACAAGGCGATGAACCCGTTGCTGGGCGAGTTGAAGTCGGACTCGATCCGCGAACGGCACTGGAAGCAGATTTTGCGGCTGCTGCAGGTGACATCGTCGTTCACGGAGCTCAGTTTGCGCCACCTGTGGGACGCCAAGCTACTGACAGTGCACGATGCATCGGTCAAGGACATCATCCGGACCGCGCAAGGCGAGATGGCGCTGGATGAGTTTGTGCGGCAAGTGTCGGAGCACTGGACGACGTTTGCATTGGATTTGGTCAACTACCAGAATCGGTGCCGAATCATCAAGGGATGGGATGACATGTTTGCAAAGCTGGACGAGCACTTGAACAGTTTGCAAAGCATGAAGCAGAGTCCATATTACAGAGTGTTTGCCGAACAAGCCGAGAGCTGGGAAGACCGACTGACCAAAGTACAGTCTATATTCGACTACTGGATCGACGTCCAGCGGCGGTGGGTGTACCTCGAAGGCATCTTCTTTGGGTCGGCCGACATCAAGCAGCAACTGCCCAAGGAGTACACGCGATTCCAGAGCGTGGACAATGAATTCGTGTCGACGATGAAGCGCGTGAGCCATAAACCGCTCATTTTGGACGTTGCTGGCATCCCCAACCTGTACCAGTCCCTCGAACGCCAGCAAGACATGATGGGCAGCATCCAGCGCGCTCTCGGCGACTACTTGGAGCGCCAGCGCGCGGCTTTCCCCCGCTTTTACTTTGTTGGGGACGAAGATCTGCTGGAAATGATCGGCAACAGCAAAGAACCCAAGCAGATCCAGCGCCACCTGAGCAAAATGTTTGCCGGGATTGCGTCGTTCGACATGTCGGATGTGGCCAACCCCAACTTGATCACTGGACTCGTGTCCAGGGAAGGAGAACTCGTGCGGCTCCGCGACCCCGTCGACCCCCACGCGCATGACGCGCGCATCAACGTGTGGCTGGCGCTAGTCGAAGCCCAAATGCGCACGACATTGGCGGCGCTGTTGGAGGACGCCGTGGCGCAGATGGCCGACGCCGGCGTCAACTACATTGACTGGATCGAGCTGTTTCCGGCGCAGATTGTACTGCTCGCGACGCAAATCCAGTGGACGGTGCAGATGGAATCAGTGCTCAAAGCCAACTCGTCCGACTTTTCTGGCGTCACGGCCCACGTCGAGCGAGGACTTCACATTTTGAGCGAAAAGGTGCTGTTCGATTTGCCCCACGAGACCCGGAAAAAGTACGAGCAGGTCATCACCGAGTTGGTCCACCAGCGCGACGTGAGCCGCCGCCTCTCAAAAGCCCCCACGCTGTCAGGGCCACACGATTTTCAATGGCTGTACCATATGCGCCACTACATGTACCCTGACCAAGTGGATCCGGTGCAAAAGCTGCGCATTTGCGTGGCCAACGCGCAGTTCTCGTACGGATTCGAGTACTTGGGCGTGGGCGAGCGACTGGTACATACCCCCCTAACCGAGCGCTGCTACCTAACGCTAACCCAAGCACTGCACTTTGGCATGGGCGGCAACCCGTTTGGCCCGGCCGGAACTGGCAAGACCGAGAGCGTCAAGGCTCTGGGCATGACACTCGGCCGGTTTGTGCTCGTGTTCAACTGCGACGAGAACTTTGACTTTCAAGCGATGGGGCGGATCTTTGTCGGGCTGTGCCAAGTCGGCGCTTGGGGCTGCTTTGACGAGTTCAACCGACTCGAAGAGCGAGTGTTGTCGGCTGTATCGCAGCAGATTCTGACGATTCAAGCTGGGCTGTCGACTCAGAAGAAGCAACATACAGACGGGGCGAAAACAACTCGGATCGAACTCGTGGGCAAGTCGGTGCTGTTGCATCCAGACGTGGGCATCTTTGTGACCATGAACCCAGGGTACGCTGGCCGATCCAACCTCCCCGACAACCTCAAGCAGCTGTTCCGGAGCATCGCCATGGTCGCCCCCGACCGAGAACTCATTGCACAAGTGATGCTCTTCGCCCAGGGTATCACCACGGCCGAGTTTATGGCCACCAAAGTCGTGCTCTTGTTCAACTTGTGCCATGATCAGCTATCCAAGCAACCACACTACGACTTTGGCCTCCGCGCACTCAAGAGCGTGCTGGTCAGCGCCGGACATGTCAAGCGCACCCTCACGGCGGCGGCCACATCGACGTCATTGACGACGATCGAAGCCGAGGCGCTGATCCGGTCCATCTGCGACACGGTTGTGCCCAAACTGGTGGCGTCGGACGTGTCTATCTTTGAAACGCTGCTGCGAGGCGTGTTCCCGGGCACGGATTTGCACCCAGTGAATGAACCGGCGCTGCGAGCCAAGATCGTCGAGGTGGCGACGCGTCGCCAGTTTGTCCCACATGACAAGTGGGTGGAAAAGGCGCTGCAACTGTACCAAGTGATGCAGCTTCGGCACGGCGTGATGCTCGTGGGACAAACCGGAATGGGCAAAACCAGTGCATGGACAGTCCTCCTCGACGCCCTCGAGCTCGTGGACGGCAAAAAGGGCGACGCGTACGTGATCGACCCCAAGGCGATCTCCAAGGACCATCTATATGGCACCCTCGACAACACGACACTTGAGTGGAGTGACGGAATCTTCACGCATGTGCTGCGCCAGGTGCTAAACAACGTGCGCGGGGAGAGCGACAAGCGGCACTGGATCGTGTTTGACGGAGACGTGGACCCGGAATGGGCCGAGAACTTGAACTCGGTGCTGGACGACAATAGGCTTCTCACGCTACCATCCGGCGAACGGCTCGAGATTCCGCCCAATGTGTGGATTATCATGGAGACTGAAACACTCCAGTATGCCACGCTTGCAACCGTCAGTCGATGCGGAATGGTCTGGTTCGCACACGATACAGTCGAGACTTGCCACTTGATTGACCATTTAGTCGGCAAAATCGCGCGGGATACCTCCCTTCGGTCGTTTTACTCTATGCAAGACGACGAGTGGGCCACGTTTCAGGCTGCGCAAGCCACGTACTTGGACTTGGTGCGGGGGGTACTATCATCGTCATCGGGGCTGGTCACAACCTGCCTCGATTTTGCCCTGAGCCTGCCGCACATTATGCAAGTGGACCGGCTCCGGTTACTCGTGTCCATGTTTTCGCTCGTGTCCAAGGGATTGGTGCACATTGCCGAGTACACCGAAGTGCACACGGACTTTAGCATGTCTGGGCCCCATCTGCAAGCATTTGCGTTGAAATGGCTCGTGTTTTCCATCTTGTGGGGCTTTGGCGGGTCGCTGGATAACCCGAATCGCGTGAAACTGGCCCAGTTTCTCACTAGTATCAACACAACGATCCCGCTACCGACGCTACCAACAGACACTACTTTGCTCGACTTTGAAGTCCAAGTGAAAGACGGAGAGTGGAAGCTGTGGAGCTACTCGGTGCCGACAATCGACCTCGACAGCCACCGCGTCCTCTCCACGGACGTGGTCGTAGCCACCGTCGACACGATCCGCCATGTCGAAGTGCTCCGAGGGTGGCTGCACCAGCACCGCCCGCTCATCTTGTGCGGCCCCCCCGGCAGCGGCAAGACCATGACACTCACGTCCACACTCAACTCGTTGCCCGAGTTTGAGCTCGCGAGTCTGAACTTTTCGTCGGGCACGACCCCCGACCTGATCCTGAAGACGTTTGGCCAGTACTGCGTGTACAAGAAGACGCCTCAGGGCACCGTGCTGGCCCCGCACACCCCCGGCAAGTGGCTCGTGGTCTTTTGCGACGAAATCAACCTCCCCCAGGCCGACAAGTACGGCACTCAGCGCGTTATCACGTTTCTACGGCAACTGGTTGAGCAGGGTGGGTTCTGGAAGGATAAGCTATGGGTACACCTCGAGCGCATCCAGTTTGTGGGCGCGTGCAACCCACCCACCGACCCGGGGCGCGTCCCGCTGTCGTCGCGCTTTCTCCGGCACGCGCCAGTGCTATTTGTCGACTTTCCAGCGTACTCGTCGCTCAAGCAGATCTACGGCACGTTCAACCGCGCACTGCTCAAGCTCACGCCGTCGCTCAAGGCGTACCACCAACCGTTAACCGATGCCATGGTTGAAGTGTACATGCGAAACCAGACCCAGTTCACGGCCGAAGCGCAGCCGCACTATATCTACAGCCCCCGCGAGCTCTCAAGGTGGACGCGCGCGCTTTACGAAGCGATCGAGCCGCTCGAGTTTGAGATGGACATTAGCACGCTGGTCAAGCTCGTGTTTCACGAAAGCCTGCGCTTGTTCATGGACCGACTCGTGACTCCAGCAGACCAAGCGTGGTGCGCTCAGACGTCCAAGGATGTCCTCTGCCACCACTTTGCCGGCGCATCGGCTAGTATGGCGCTACTCGAGAAGGATCATCATCCCATCTTGTTTACGACGTGGCTGAGCAAGTTTTATGCCCAAGCGACGACCCACGACCTCCGCAAACACATTGAAGCGCGGCTGCGTGTGTTTTACGAAGAAGAGCTAAACGTGCCGCTAGTCGTGTTTGACTCGGTGATTGACCACGTGCTGCGCATCGACCGCGTCCTGCGGCAACCGCTGGGTCATTTGCTGCTCGTGGGCGAAAGCGGCGCCGGGAAGACGGTGCTGTCGAGATTTGTGAGCTGGATGAACGGCATGAGTGTGTTTCAGATCAAGCTCACGACCCACTACACATTGGCCAACTTTGACGACGACTTGCGCATCGTGCTCAAGCGATGCGGGTGCGACGGAGAAAGGATCTGCTTTATATTTGACGAGTCGAATGCGCTGGACGCGGCGTTCCTGGAGCGGATGAACGCGCTGCTGGCGTCGGGCGAAGTCCCGGGACTGTTTGAAGACGAAGAGCATGTGGCACTCATGCACGCGTGCCGCGAAGCTGTCCGCCGCGACAACATCACGTCGGTGGACAGCACAGACGACGACGACTTGTTCAAGTACTTTACGAGCCAAGTGCAGCGCAACCTCCACGTTGTGTTTACGATGAACCCCGCGAGTGGCGACTTTCAAAGCCGATCCAAGACGAGCCCCGCGCTGTTTAATCGATGTGTTGTCGACTGGTTTGGCACGTGGTCCGATCACGCGCTTGCCCAAGTTGCGCACGAGTTTACGACAGCATTGGATCTGGGCCACCAGGAACAGACGTACGACATGGACGACATGGGCGAAGGATGGGCGGCGATTGGCGGGTCGGCCTTTCACAAGGCGATCGTCGCCAGTGTCGTGCAGTTTCACCACGCGGTGCTGCACACGATGCAACGACTGGCCAAGCGCCACGCCAAGCACAACCACATCTCACCCCGCGACTACCTCGAGTTTATCCGGCACTTTGTGACACTGTACGGGACCAAGCGCGCCCAGTTGGAGGACCAGCAGCTGCACTTGAACGTGGGAGTGGACAAGTTGGTTGCCACGCACAACCAAGTGGCGGATCTGCAGCTCCAACTCAGTGCCAAAGACCGCGAACTGCGTGAAAAGGACGCCCAAGCGAACGAAAAGCTGCAGCTCATGGTCGTCGAGCAGAACGAAGCGCAGCTCAAGAAGAAGAACACGGAGGTCCTGGCCGCCGATTTAGCCCTCCAGGACGACGAAATCAGCAAGCGGAAGCTCGTAGTGGAGAAGGATCTGAGCGAGGCCGAGCCGGCGCTGCTGGAGGCGCAGTCGAGTGTGAATTCGATCCGGAAGGCGCAGCTGGACGAACTTCGCGCGCTCGCGCGTCCCCCGAACGCCGTGCGCCTAACGTTGGAAGCCGTGGCCATCATGTTGGGCGAAAGCAGCTTGGACTGGACCGACTTGCGCAAGTTTATCCGCAAAGATGACTTTATTGCATCGGTGGTGCACTTTGACTCGGACAAGCTCACGGCCAAGCAGCGCCAGACGATTCAAAAGGACTACATGAGCAAAGGCGACGAATTTGATTATGAAAAGGTCCAGCGCGCGTCGAAAGCATGCGGTCCGCTGTTCAAGTGGGTCGTGTCCCAGCTCAATTACACGGAGATTTTGCACAAGATTCAACCGCTGCGGCATGAAGTGAGGACGTTGGAGGACCAGAGCGCGGGATTGCGCGTCGAGTTGCAGGAGGCGACCGCGACGATTCAACTGCTGGAGCAGCGCATTCAAAACTACAAGCAAGAATATGCGGCGCTCATTAGCCAAGCCCAAGTCATCAGCGCTGACATGGCGTCGGTCAAGAAAAAAGTGGAGCGATCCGTGTCGTTGCTGAGCAACTTGGTCGTGGAGCGCGAACGCTGGGAAAATGGGTCCAAGCAGTTTGAATCGCAGATGGAAACGCTGGTGGGAGACACGCTCGTGAGCGCGGGGTTCCTCACGTACTTGGGGTTTCTGGACCACCAACAGCGCCAGCTTTTGGTCCAGGATTGGCGCGATATCCTGCACACGATGCACATCCCAAGCACCCCCGGACTCAGCTTTATCGAGTACCTATCGCCGCCGTCGCAGCGCCTCGCGTGGACCGCCGCGGACCTCCCATCCGACTCGCTGTGCGTCGAAAACGCGATCATCCTGACGCGATTCCACCGGTTTCCGCTCATCATCGACCCGTCCGGCCAAGCAGCGCGGTTCATGGTCAACTACTTTAGCCACCAGTCGTCGACAATCACGCAGACTTCGTTCCTCGACTCGTCTTTTATGAAGATCTTGGGCAGCGCGATCCGGTTTGGCACGGCGCTGCTGGTGCACGACGTCGACACGATCGACCCGATCTTGAACCCCGTGCTCAACCGGGAGCTGTACAAGACGGGCGGCCGCGTACTGATCCGGCTGGCGGGGGAAGAGATCGACTACTCGCCCGAGTTTCGGCTGTTTCTGCTCACGCGGGACCCGTCATGCCGGTTCTCGCCTGACATTTGCTCGCGCGTGACATTTGTCAACTTTACCGTGACCCCGAGCTCCCTCGAGAGCCAAAGCTTGGCGTTATTGCTCAAGAGCGAAGAGCCAGACGTCGACGCCAAGCGGTCGTCGCTGCTCAAGCTCCAAGGCGAGTACTTTGCCAAGCTCCGCGACCTCGAAGACGCCCTCTTGCACCAGATCAACGGCGTCCAGGGCAACATCCTAGACGACGACCGCGTGATTGTAGCGCTGGAAACCATGAAAGCCGAGAGCGCCGACATCTCCCAGCACGTCCACGACACGCAAGTGATCATGGACACGATCGAGCAGGCCACGGCGCGCTTTCAGCCGCTCGCTCGGGCCTGCACGCAGCTCTTCTTTACGCTGGAAACCCTCGGCCAAGTTCACTTTTTGTACCAGTACTCGCTCCCGTACTTCCTCGGTATTTTGACCGACGTGCTGCGGGCGACTCAAACGACCACGACCAAGCCCCGCCTCGACGATATAGCGCATCGCCTGTTTACCCATATTGCCCGCCGCGTGTCCAAGGGGATGCTCCAGCAAGATAAGCTCATGTTTGGGCTACGCTTGGCGCACATTTACGTGGAATTGTACGACGGGTTGCCGTCTGAAGCCGAGATGGACGTGTTCTATCACCGGTCGATGCTCGCCCCGACCACAACGTTGCCGGCGCTGGCCATTCCGACCGACACGGCGGATCGACTGGCGCGCCTCGCGTCCCCGTCGTCGCCGTTTGCCGCGGCGTTGGCGGCCCATGTCGAGTTGAACCAACCTGAATGGGAAGCATTCTTGACCCACGCTGCGCCCGAACTTCACGTGCCCGCGGCACTCTGGGGCGACGCCAAGTCCGCGTTCCGAGACCTCTGCCTCGTGTCGACGACCCGCCCCGACCGGCTGCCGTTTGCCGCGGAAAAGTACATTTACCATGTCTTCAACGACCCATCATTCCCATGGCGCGGCGATGTCGAGTTCCGCATCCAAGTGGAGCAAGAAACCGATAGCTCCCGGGGCATCTTGCTGTGCTCGACGTCTGGCTTTGACGCGAGCGGTCGCGTCGATGAGCTCGCGGATGCGCTGCACAAGAAGCTGTCGTCGGTGGCGATGGGGTCGGCCGAGGGCTTTGACGCCGCCGACAAGGCGCTGAATACCGCCATCAAGCACGGCCATTGGCTACTGCTCCGCAACGTCCATCTGTGCCCGTCGTGGCTGGTTACCGTGGAAAAGAAGCTCTACAGCGTCCGCGAGTCGGCACACAAGGATTTTCGGCTGTTTCTGACCAGCGAAATCCACCCCCATCTGCCCGTCAACTTGGTGCGTTTGTGCGACGTGTTTGTGTTTGAACCACCCAGTGGCGTCAAAGCCAGCATGCAGCGGTCACTCGAAGACGTCCCCGCCGACCGCATCAACCAGAGCCCCACCGAGCGCGGCCGCCTCTTCCTCGTCCTCGCGTGGTTTCATGCGATCGTTCAAGAGCGTCTGCGATACGTTCCGATTGGCTGGTCCAAAGCGTACGAGTTTTCGCAGAGTGATTTTAAAGGTGCGTGTGACGTGGTGGATTACTGGGTCGACAGCGTCGGCGGCGACCGTCGCGCGCACATTTCGCCCGACGCGATCCCATGGACTGCCATCAAAGTGATCTTGAAAGAGTCGCTGTATGGCGGCCGCGTAGACAACTCGTACGACCAGCAACTCATGGACACGTTGCTGGACAACGTATTCAATGCACATACGTACGAGACCAACTACCCCCTCGTCCATCCATCCTCGTCCAACCAAGATGCTGACGATGGTGTTGTGATCCCGTCGGGGAAGACCAAGGAACAGTTTACCGACTGGATTGCGAGTCTCCCCAACTCGAACCCGCCATCGTGGCTGGGTCTACCGTCCTCTGTGGAAACCATGCTCGTGATCAACCAAGGCCACCGCACCCTGCGCCATTTGCAGCTGCTGCAAGATGGACTCGACAGTGTCGCAGATGATATCGACGAGAATGGAGATGAGACGACGACGTTGTTTGCCGGGGGGGGCGCGGCGGCGGCGTGGATCCAGGCGCTGCATCGCAAAGTAACGACATGGCTCGCCCAGTTGCCTCGGTCGTCTGCCATTCTCGTCAAGACCGACGACGACGCTGCGTTTGCCAACCCCGTGTACCGTTGCTTGCATCGAGAAGTCGAGTTGGCCAACAAGTTGCTGGCCAACGTCACGTCGCTGCTCGAGTACATTGACGGCGTGTGCAGCAACGCGTTGAAACCCACGAGCGCCGTGCGCGATGCCATGCGCTCGCTGCATCAGGACCAGCTTCCGTCCGACTGGCGGACCTCGTACGCCATTCCCCCCCACATTTCGCTGCACGAATGGCTCGCCGACTTTTCCAAGCGCGTGGCCCAGCTCGGCCACTTGATGTCGCTGCCGTTGGCTGACGTACTGTCCCAACGTATATGGATCGGCGGGCTGTTTGCACCCGAAGCATTCATCACGGCTACCCGCCAAGTCGTTTCGCTCGATTTGCACTGCGCGCTGGACGAGTTGGAGCTCGTGGCGTCGGTTCACAACGAGGCCAACCACGATAGCGGCGGCGGGTTTAACGTGTCGGGGTTCCATATCCAGGGCATCCAGTGGACGCAAAGCGGCGGGTTTGCCGCCACAGACGCCCTCGAGTCGCCCCTAGACACGCTCTACTTGAGCTGGCGCGTAGCTCTTGACGACGTTCCGACGTTGCGCAAACTGCCCGTGTACTTGAACGCGCAGCGTCTCGTGATGCTGTTTGAAGTGGCCGTGGACGTTCCGCCCTCGACACTCTTGAGTGACCACATATGGGCCGAACGAGCGGTCGCACTCACAGCGTGGAAGCTCTAACATCCACTTCAAGTACTTTGAAGTAGTTGCTTCTGGACATGGTAGATATATATATATATTCCATTCTGGCAGCAATGATATATTATTGGCCTTTACACTGTTAACGTTGGACGACTGGGCCAAACTATATAGTTAGATTATTTCCTGGTACTATAACGTTTACTACTACAAGAGTGGGCTAAACGCAGTGTGGGCTAAACTACGGTATACGAATCGATGATTGGGTCGATATGATTGGGGCAAATACGACATATTCTCTAATGTTGGCCAAATTGAACGGACTTGACACTATATCGAATATGCAATCCATTGGATTAGGAATAAGTAGGATGTATATAGATATATAGATATATACTAGCAACCCAACAATATAGGTAGGGGGATGGCTTTATCTTCATTGGTCGTCGGCTGACCCGCCTTCACGCGTCGCTTCGATCACCGCGAGCGCATTCACACGCGCATGTTGCATCTCTTCCGTGGCGTGGCGGATGTAATCTTCGCTCATTTCCGACACGGGGGCAAACGCCAGTCGGTTGCTCGCTTTAAGCTGGTTCCATCGTTCGCCCACGGGTACGAGGAGGTCCTCAATGTCTGCGCGACACAGCCCCCAACTACCGCGCGCGATCTCCCCCAACAGCTGCGCGCGGGTCCACTGCGCGTCGCCCCAAAACACCCACAAGTGCACCGGCTCGGTCTCCAGCAGCGTTATGTTAATGGGCTTGAGCTTGATGCCTTCGCCGGTGCCGGCGACGCGCACCTCCCACCGCTGCGCCTTGTCGTCGAAGCGAAGCGCCATGCCCACTAGGCCGTTCAGGTCCGGACGTGACTGAAGTCCGCAGAGGCGCACCCCGAGACCCGAACTCACGTCGCCATGGCGGGTGCTTTCCCGACGGCGATATGCTAGCGCCACGGCTTCGTCCAGGTCTGTGAGCACCGTCCACCCGGTACCCCCCCGGACTAGACAGGCCGACACCGCATACTGATCGCATGGGCCGCCGGCATAATGCTGCACGACCAACGCCCCGTCGACGTTGCTGTAGTGCTGACGAAGGCGCGAGGTGGCGCGTTCGACCGCCGCTTCCGCGCGTTGCAAGCGGGTCGACGCCGGAGCCAACAGGCGGGAAATGCACACGGCGGCAACGTGGTCGTCTCCGCAGGAGAGGGGGGTGCTTGGGACGAGCACGAGCGTTGCGGGCGCGCACAAGGCATCGAGCGCAGTCCCCAAGTCGGAAGGAGATACGTCCGCCAGCGATCCTTTGGGGGCGAGGAGAAACCGAGTGCCCTGGACGTCGATGCTGACCTCGTTGGAAGCATTGTCGCGCGTGAGTTGGCGACGCACGGACTCGAGTTTGTCGCTGGACGTCAATGGCAGCTCCAATTCCCCCGTGTCTTCCTTGACACTGGTGATGAGGTACACTCCGTGGAACCAAAAGTCGTAGCTATCGTCCCCACGTCGCCGCAAGCGCGCATCCGTTTCGTTTCGATCGGCGGCCAACATGTCGGAGAACTGAGGACTCGCGGCAATGAGTCGACCTTCGTCGATCAATGCCGCGATTTCTGGCCCCGTGAACGATTCCATGAGTTCTGCTCGCGACGGCGGCGGACACGAGTACCGCGCAAGACAGACGTTGCATATGTGATGGCGCTTATCGTCTGTGTAAAACGCAGGGTGCGTCGGTTGCGCCACAAGGACCATGCGTTGCCACCGGCGCAAGCACGCGAGATGCACAAACTTCTGCCCTACACGTCATGTATCATCAGGACGAGTGGATTTCACGCTTCTCTACCTCCAGCACAACTGCATGGAGAAATCAACGGCCCATCGATCTCGTCGCCAAAGCAGTAGCGGCATTGCGGTTCGTCGTCACCCATGATCACGGTCGGCCTTTCCCAGAAATCTCACGAATGAGCGAGAAAGCATGCGATCTAATTATCCGGACTGCCCGTTTGATTCGGATAACTCACCACGTTTTCCGGATTCCACGCTTATCCGGATAATCCTATTTTTGATCGCCAAATCGTGCCAAAAGGCAACTCCACAAGATACTGGCAAAGGCGGCGGGCACATCATCCTCATGGCCGGCAGCAGCACCTTCCTTCTACGGGCGTTGGAGGCGACCATCGTGCTGATGGAGGGTCTTCTTCTACCTCTAGAAGTGTTCCTCCTTCTTCTCTTCAAGTCCACGCCGCTGGCGTACACGAACGACCAGTCCACCGTGCACCACTTTCCACTGGAATCTTCGCACGACATCAGTGGCGGCGGTAAACAGAGTGAATCTTACATGAAATCTCGCGCGCCCGAGTCGAAAATGTCGGCATTGCCACTTCTGCGTCGAGCCATGACTTGGGAAGAAAAGTTTGCGCAGTACGTCACCGACATAGGGTCGCCGACGCGGAGCATGTGGAGCGATCCGTCCGCGGCCGCCGTCTTGGTGCGCGGGCCAACGTATCTCAACGACAGCATCAAGATCCGCACAGGCCCGAGCTTCGGCAAGTTGGTCCACGTCGACGTGTGGAAGGCGACGGCCGCTCGACCTGGTCGGATCGACCACATCGCAGAGTTGGACTTAGCGAGGCCCATTAGCATTTTGCGGTACTTTCAACAGGAACATACGGCTGACACGGTGTTTGTACTCAACTTCCAGGTACGTACCTACCTACTATGTAGTACCTACTTTGCATATGTAGTACTCAATGACGTTGTAATTAGGTACCCGGCACCCCGTTCGTCCATGTCGTGTGCTACTGGCTCGTGTCAGCTACAGACATTGCGCGGCACGGTCCTTTTGCGCTGCTTTGGACCCAGTTCCGAGCTGCCATCGACGCCAACACCCCCGCCTTCTGCAATGACCGCTTTAAGCTCATTCCGGCGCTGGTGGCCGCGCCTTGGCTGGTCAAGGTCACCGTGCCCCAGAAGCCGGCGCTCGTCGGCAAGAAACTCACCCAGCGGTACCATTCTGGACGCAACTACATCGAGGTGGATATGGACATCCCGTCCAGTACCATCGCCGCCAACGTCGTGGGGCTGTGTCGAGGGTACGCCACGCAGGTCGACGTCGACCTCCACGTCACCCTCCAAGGCGACTCGCCCGCCGAACTGCCGGAAAACATCTTTGCATCCGTCCGGTTCTCAAAACTGGACTTTGCCCACGCCCAAGACGTCCCGACGTACTAGTAGTAGACATAGCTATTAATAGTAGGCGTGGCTAGTAGTAGTAAGTACTATTAATAGCTGCTCGTTGTTGAGACGAAATACTGTATATTGCCATCATCAAATTAGTGTATGTGTGCCTTTAGATTCCAAATTGTCGGGAAAAACGGGCAATGTGTGTGTGCCGACAATGCGTTGCGGTCCTGGGTACTAATAAGTACTACTAGTATGTACTACTAGTCGATGTAATGTAGACTGGTGAAAATATATACTACAGTATATATATATATATATATAACTTACATTATTCACCAAGTGACACCGGTCTAACGAGTCAATTATTTACCATTAACGTTACTACTAGAAATGGAATAACTCTTTTGTCCCCTGACACTAGTCTTGGTGTACGTTCGGTAGTACCTATAGAATATACATATATGACGAACGGTATACAAACTTCAAGTGTAGAATATATATGTATGGTGTACGTTCAGTAGTACCTATATATATATCGTACATACATATATATATATATGACGAACGGTATACAAACTTCAAGTGTAGAATATATATATACCTTGTATGGGTTGAGAATCCCACGGGGGTCATACAATGCTTTCATCTGGTGCATCATATTGATGGCATTTTTGACCTTGGACAAGTGCAGAAACGCCGGCTTGTGCGTGCCAATGCCATGTTCGGCGCTGATGCTTCCGCGGCGCGCCGCTAATCATTCGTATGTAAATCGATATATATATATATATATATACCAGTCCACTCAAACACAAACGGCTCAATGGCGGCCATGACTTGGCTGTTGTATGTCGGAGTCGAGATGTTCAAGTGCATGTTGCCGTCGCCGAGGTGGCCGTACCCGACAACTTGAACGTCGTCGAATGCTTTCAAGTGGTTTCGCGTGTCTTCGACTATGGTATAGTATGCGTCCATAGGAACGCTCACGTCATACTTGTACACGTAGCCTGTCGCGCTCAATGCTAATGTAATGTCTTCGCGGATGCCAAACAGCTTGCGCGCTTGATGGGCGTCCTGCGCGACCGTGCCGTCGACCACGTCGCCGCTCTCGAGGACATGCGCCAGGTACGCATCCAACTTGTCCATGTCGTGGTCGGCGCGGCTTCCCGCGGTTTCGAGGAGGACGTAGAAAGGACAGGCGGTTTCTAGCGGATCGACGAGGGTAGACTGAGATCGTAGCACCATGTCGAGGGATGCCCTGTCCATAAACTCGACGGCCGAGAGGATCTCGCCGAGATGCCGCCGCGCCGCCACATACGTCTTCTGGACCGCGTCGAACGAGTTGCATCCCACCAGCGCGACGTTGATGGACGCCGGACGCGGTGGTGTGAGCACGGACAGCTTGGTGATGACCCCCAACGTCCCTTCAGACCCAATGAACAGCTGCTTCAAGTCGTACCCTGTGTTGTCCTTGCGCATGGTGCTCAAGCAGTCGACAATCTAATGCAAAAACATGAGGATTAGATGAAGAAGAAAAAGGGGGAGAACGTACGGTGCCATCTGCCAACACGGCTTCAATGCCGAGAATCGATCCATGAAGCGATCCATATCGAAGCAAGCGGAGCCCGCCGGCGTTCGTGGACGCGTTCCCGCCGATTTGACATGTTCCCTTGGCGCCCAAGTCCAACGGCATCATGTATCCAGACTTGCCCACGTGGGTGTCGAGCGTTTCCAAGATGCACCCTGCCTGCAGACTCGTGCTTAGGATCGATCGATCGATGGAGAGAGAGAGAGGGATGGACGACGTACTTGACAAACGACAATGCCGGACACGTCGTCGAAGGACTCAATGACGTTCATGTTTCCCGTCGAGAGGATCACTTCGTCGTGGACAGGGACGCTTCCACCCACCAGACCCGTGTTCCCGCCTTGCGGCACCACTGCCAACCGCCGGTCGTTGCAGTACTTGAGGATGTCCGACACTTCCTGAGTCGTCTTAGGTCGCAGCACCACGGAACTATGACCATGGTACTTGTTCAACCAGTCCGAGTTGAACGGCGCGACCTCGTCGGCGTCCGTGAGCACGCCGCTGCACACGCTTCGAAAGTGCGCGATGTCGGAATCCGTCACCTTCGCAAACGCTCCTCGTGGAATGTCTCCATGCGCAGAGAAGAATCGGGAATTGGACGGACGCGCCATCGCCGCTGAGCTTCGCGCAAGTTGACGCCACATCATCTTTCTTGATTATGGCAAAAGATCGAATGCGAATTGTGGTTCAAGGACTTCCTGGAGAATTTTCTGCGGAATGAAGATAATTTCAAGATATTGTGCTAAAATTGGAACTATTTTGCCAAATACACCGAATAATATGTCATTTTTAGCTACAATTTGACATATTTTAGGCACATTTTACTGAGATATTTGTCCAATATTTTGCTTGAATATTGGTCCACCAATCAAAACCGAACAGACATTTGATTGGTGGCCACTTTGATTGGATTGTCTGAGACTCCACAACACCACGAAAATACCGATTTGTTTTTAATTACCTTGGATATTGTATACGCAGGGCTGAGACACGATTAAAATAGTGTGCTGCGAACACAGAAGTTGAAGCTCCCATACATATTCGGAGTTGGAGAGCACCATGTTGACGTGCACGGCATGCCGCGAAGAGTTCGCGACGTATGAGCTGCAGAAGGAACACTTCAAGCTGGACTGGCATCGGTACAACCTCAAGCGCAAGGTGGTGGGGTTGCCGCCCGTGTCGGTGGAGCAGTTCTTCGCCCGAAAGGCCGACGGCGCGCCGCAGAAGGTGGAGGAACCGGTGTTGCAAGCGTTCAAGTGCCACAACTGCAACAAGTCGTTCTCGAACGTGAAAGCCGTGGACAACCACAAAGCCACAAAGAAGCATCAGGTGGCTGTGAAGAAGGCCGACAACGTCGAGACCATCACGTCCAAGGTGATTGCGAAGGCGGTCGAAGATGCACCTGTCGACGAAGAAGCGGCGACCACCGAGGACGACGACGAAGGAGAAGACGTGGACCTGAACATCCAGCACTGCATGTTCTGCTCGTTCGAAGCCGACTCGCTCGAGACCAACCTCACGCACATGCAGAAGTCGCACGGGTTCTTCATTCCCGACTTGGAGTACCTCGAGGACCTGGAAGGATTCGTCACGTACTTGGTGGAAAAGGTCAAGCTGGGCCACGTGTGCCTGTACTGCAATGGAAAGGGCAAGGCGTTCCGAACGTTCCAGGACTGCCAAAAGCACATGATCGACCTATCGCACTGTAAACTCGCGTACGAAGAGGGCGTCGACTTGCACGAGTTCGACGACTTTTACGACTTTACGGCGTCGTACGATGGGGTGGTGGCAGCTAAGCAGACGTCTGCTACCGCCCACGGCGACGACGACGAGTGGGAAGACGTCGAGGAAGACGAAGAAGAAGAAGATGAACTGGCTGGCCTCGAAACCATCTCCATCTCGGACACAGGCAACATGGTGCTCCCCGACGGCCGGCAAATCGGCCAGCGCGAGCTCCGCCGCTACTACAAGCAGCGCCACCGTCCCGAAGAAGCGCGTGATAGCGTGCTGGCCCAGACCAAGGAGCGGCTGCTGCTGTGCTACCAGCTGGCGGGCATCGACATGAACTCGACGACGCTGAGCGTGTCGTACGCCAACAAGTTTCTGAGTCGGCGCACCGGCAACATTGCCGAGGCGCGCAACATTCAAGAGTCCAAGAGCGTGCGCCACAAGTTCCAAAAGCACAGAGAACGCCTTGAGACGCGGAGCCACAAGCTGCAAAAGCACCCGAATCGAAAGGAAATGGTCACCGTCTAACGACATACACTTTGAAAACGAATATACTATGAAATATGATGAAAAGTGATTGCATCCTGTCGGCTACTACTACTTGAAATATTAATCGATGTTTGACATTCCATTTCCTGTGAGAATTTATATTGTATAATCGGGTTTGGTAGTATGGGAAATGGAAGCACATGTGAGGACACTTGAGGATCGTGAAATTATGGCGCCGCTAGTATAGGCCCAGTTGCTTCATCGCGTGCAGCTTTCGGGTGAGCATGTCCACTTCCACCGCGCAGACGCTCGACAGTTGACTAGTAGTACTAAGAACATCTACTAAATGGGTGTACCGATCGACCACAAACGTCGTGTTGGAGTCGGGGATGCCGTGGAACGTCTTGAGTTTGCGCAGATTGGGCGGCGACAGGAGCAGCCAGTTGGCGTCGCTTGAGATGGCGTTCATGACACACGCGAACGACGAGCAGTGGTCCACCCCCATCGCATGCAGCAGCTCGTGGGCCGACGTGACCAGCAACGACTTGAGAGACTGGTTCAGAGACACACACGCCACCCGATCCGGGTACGATCGACCGAGCACTTCGACAAACACGCCGTCCACGTCTTCCACCAACCCCAGCGGAGTCACCACGAGCATGCTAAAGTACGGCGACTGAACAAACTTGGCGTGTTCGAATGCCTCAAAGATCGAGAACACGTCCAGGCAAACGTCGTTGGGAGATCGCTTTCGCTTGGAAGTCAAATTCTTCTTCTGCTTTGTGACCTGTCCTGGTGTACCCACACGGCCAATGTACTCGGAACCGTGGATACGAAGGGACCTGGAACTGGCGTTCCACTCCGCAGCGTCGGTGGGGAGTATGTCGACATCGATGCAAAGGTATGCCGCGAGGAACCGACGAAGCACATCGCAAGTAATCTCTACAGACGATTTGGAATCCGTGGTAGATGGCTTGGCAGACGAAGTCGGAAGCATCAAGAGCCCGAGCTTCCGTCGACGTGGTGTCCTTTTCCACCGTCCAGTGCCTTTCGCATTGGGGCGTCGCTTTCCCATGTCGACAAACTCGTCATGGGTTTGGTCATCTTCGTCCGAGAAGCACGTGTCACCATCAGGCTCTGGATGAAACTCGGCAATTGTGGGATGGAAGATGTCGGCACCGTACCCCGCGCCAACTGCCGCCGCTTGCGCTGCATTCATCAAAGCTAAGATTCCATTGTGATGACCTTTCGAATCCTCGGTATAGTTTAACCAAATGAACGACAGAGTGCAGGTCGATGTATAGTGTAATCAAATGCTTTGCTGAACGCATTGTCTGAATGTGTGTACATGTCGGAAAGGACAAATTGCGCGCGAAGATCCATTTTCAAAAATGGCGGCAACAGCAAGAAAGGGCATGATGCGCGGAGGATGGCAGTGGACTGTCGTGAGGTGAGATCGGTCGAATGATGTGTTGATGGTGTGGACGCCATGGACAAAGCTACAGAGATCTGCGTGTGATGCTGACAGCAAACGGACTACACAGACACTTCCTACATCTTGCACGGAGAAGACAAGACCTATTCCTTCGACGAACAGTAGCGTATGTGCATGTCTTGACCGATCATACTCACGACGGTCCATTGAAAACGTAGGCATGCCCTTGACAGGCCAACGTTTGTGCGGCAGTTCCATTCGATCGTTGTCGACATGTGGCTCGTCCTGTCAAGAAGTCCATTTTGCAGGTAGGTAGGAATGAGACCACACGATTTGCAAACACAACGGCATTGAATGTCATTGTTTCATTGCCTAAGTTGCCAAGAAGTCAAGAAATCAAAATGCTGGTTGCCAAGTCGAGTCAACACGAAACCCGCCACTTGATCGATCAGTTGCGTGCCGTGGGGTTGGACAAGTACATTGAGCTGCCCCAAATTGCCGTCATGGGGGACACCTCGAGCGGCAAGTCCTCCGTCCTGTCAGCGCTGTCTGGCATTACGTTTCCGTCGTCAGGAAACCTCACGACGCGGTGCCCCACGCAGCTCATCCTAACTCAATCCAAGAAGTTTTCTGGAACTGTTCGATTGCTACGGTTTGATCCTGCCGTCGAGTCGCTGCCTCCCACACCCATTCACTCGATTGACGAAGTCACAACGTACATAGAGAGCATCACCCAACAACTCGTGGATGAAGGACAGTCCATCAGCGACGACGCCATCGAGATCAAGTTGCACGGCCCCGACTTTCCAGACCTGACGTTGACTGATTTGCCGGGGTTGGTGCGGTCGGTGGGCGACCACGAAGACAAGGCGATGATTTCTCGCGTGGACAAGCTCGTGCATCGGTACTTGGTGCAAGATCGAACCGTCATCTTGGCCGTCGTGCCTGCGAACGTGGACATGCACAACACGGCCATCATCCAAGCGGCGGAAGAAGCCGACCCGGACGGCGTTCGAACGATTTCGATCATTACCAAGCCCGATTTGATTGACCAGGGCGCTGAAGATGCCGTGGTGGACTTGCTCCTGAATCGAACCAAGTACCGCCGATTGGGGTACCACGTCGTGAAATGTCGCGGCCAAAAAGCGCTCAACAACAACGAGTCGATTCAACAAGGGCGGGATAACGAAGCCGCGTTCTTTGACTCGCATGCTGTGTGGTCCACAGTAGACAAGTCATTGTGTGGCACGGGTCGGTTGGCGGAGAAATTGACGAGATTACTCATGGACACGGTATGCAAGGCGTTGCCAAAGGTCGTGGCTGAAATCGACGTGCAATTAGCTGCTTGCAAGGACAAGCTGGCGATTCTCGGGGAGCCCATGAGTACCCCAGCAGTGCGTCGCGCGACGTTTATGAAGAATGTGCGCTTGGTGTTGGATCGGTTGGAAGGCGGAGTGAGTGGGAATTACAACGACACGTTGTTTGAAGACACTGAACAGAACAACCGGCTGCGTGCTCAGCTTCGGACGGCCGAGTCGGAATTCCAAGCCGCGATTGAGGAGCTTTCCGTCGTTCATGCTGCCACCGTCGATACATCGACGCGGGAGGTGGTGGTGGGGGACTTTGTGGAAGTTTCCATAGACGGTGATGTCGAGTGGGAAGTGGACCAAGTGACAGATGTGGATGGGCCGACCATCGTGAAGACTGCCAAGTTGTGTCCAAGTGAATGGTTGCATTCATCCAAGGTGGCGATTTCTGCCCGAGTTGGATCTATCCGACCTGAAACACCTGATGACGTCCAACCGGGGCGACGAACTGCCTATTTTTCTGTCCTACTCGACCTTTGCAAACGTCGTGCGGCAACGCTACGTGAGCAAGTGGCGAAGTCCGATGCTGCAATTGTTTGAAACGTACCAAACGTTGCTGCGCAAGTTTGCGACGCGGGTGATTCACTCGACAAAATGCAAACCCAAGCTGGAACAGCACTTGAAACAAGTCGCCTACACCATCTTGGAGCACCTGTCGAACGTCGCCATGGTCGAATTGGACAAGATCATGGAAACGGAAAGTCGCCCGTATACGCTGAACCAGCAACTCAGTCAAGTGTTGATGCGGTTGAGAACGCAGCCACTGATCGACGGACTCGACGCGCTTTCTCGTACGTGGACTATCTAAGCAGCGTCGTGTGGTTGGCTCAACGTTGTGTGTGGTTTAGGGAACAACGACGCCAACACTGTCCAAGCTGGCGCGGTGAAGGCGTTGCTGCAAAGCCACACTGGGATTGGAAAAAACACGAACGAAGACCAACAGGCAAAGGAATTGCACTTGGCCATTGTCGCGTATATGACGGTAGCGTCAAAGCGCTTCGTGGACGAGATTCCCATGCTCTTGAACACCAAGTACATCCGGCCGTTCTTGTCGGCCATGTTTAACGAGACGTCGGAAACGCCGGACGGAGTGCTGGACCGTGTGCTCATGGACAACATGGCGGACGTCGAGCGATACCAGACCTTGGCGAACCAGCTCAAGTCTCTTGAAGCGGCGAAAACCCTCATCAACGCCCACTGAGCTCGCCAAGAAGTTTCTTGATATATATATATCATTCTTGTTAGTTAATATTTCGAAGTAATAACAATGCTGTGGAATGAGAATTCGCACCAGTCCATGCGTTTGGTAGACAATAATGTAATAATGCAAAGTGACGATATCTAGTAAAATCAACACTCCAGTTTTTGATTCATGGCGTAGAGGCTGACCAATCACATTGTTGGCCGTTTTATCCTTAGCCAATGAAATGCTTGCATTTGCATGAATGTGTGTAATTGCGAGTGAGTGTTCCTGAGCGGGATCGGTCAAATGATGTGGCGGATGGATCGGTCGACGCTAACTACATCGTGCAAAGACATGAATAAGACCAACTCCCTTATAGAAAGTCTGTATGTGCACATGTCTTGACCGAGCATAGCTCCTGGCAGTCTATTTAAAACGTAGTGATCTTCTTCATTGCATGGGACAGTTGGATCGTCGTCAACGGTGTCGCATGCCACTGGTCCTGTCGAACAGTCCATTCCACGCGATACAGAATTCGAGAGAATTTGACCACACGGTTGGCCGAATCAACGGTGCATCGAACATCGCATTAGTCATTGTATACGCTGGTTCCCATGTCGAGTCCACACGCAACCCGCCACTTGATCGATCGGTTGCGTGCCGTGGGACTGGACAAGTACGTTCAGTTGCCCCAAGTTGCCGACGCCTCCACTGTGCCGGTGGAAAGGGTGCTGCCAACGGTCGTGGCTGAAACGTATGTGCAACTGGCGTCTTGCAAGGACAAGTTAGCGATCCTCGGGGAGCCCATGACTACCCCAGCAGTGCGTCGGGCTACGTTTATGAAAAATGTGCCCTTGATGTTGGATCGGTTGGAAGGCGGGGTGAGCGGGAATTACAACGACACGTTCTTCGACGACACTGACAACCGGCTGCGGGCTCGACTTCAGACGGCCGAGTCGGAATTCCAAGTCGCGATTGACGAGGTTTCGATCGTGGATGGTACCGCCGCCCTGGACATGTCGACGCCGGAGGTGGCTTCGGTGGGGGACTTTGTGGAAGTTTTCAATGGAGAGTGGGTGATGAATGCTGCGGGCGAAACTATACCTGATCCCAATGTCAAGTGGGAACTGGATCAAGTGACGGAAGTGGAAACGACGTCGAACGAAGTATTGACTGCCAAGCACTTTAAGCGTGAATGGCGAGACTCATCCGAGTGGCGGTTCCTGCCCCCGACGTTTGCAAACATTGTGCGACAACGTTACGTGGTGAAATGGAAAAGGCCGATGCGGGCGCTGTTTGAAACGTGCCAAACGTTGCTGCTCGAGTTTGTGACACGGGTGACTGGCTCGATGAAGTGCAAGCCCAAGTTGCAAGCTCACTTGAACCACGTCGCACATGAAATGTTGGAGTCCCTGTCGACCGCAGCCTTAGTTGAATTGGACAAGTTGATCGAAGCGGAATGTGATCCGAGTACGCTGAATCTGCGACTCGGTCAAGTGTTGTTGGAGTTGCGGACGAAGCCATTGATTGTGAAATTGGATGTGCTTTCGGGTACGTAACCGAGATACTACCGTATATCCTAACGATATGACTTAGGAAACAACGACGCCACATCTGTATCTGTGGGCGCCATGAAAGCATTACTGAAACGTCATTTTGCGGAGGAAACCAACTCGAACGAAGACTTACTCGTCAAGGAATTGCATTTGGCCATTGCCGCGTATATGCCGGTGGCGTCCAAGCGCTTCGTGGACGAGATTCCCAAGCTTTTGAACACCAAGTTCATCCAGCCGTTCTTGTCGGCGGTGCGCAACGAAGCGTCGGAAACGTCAGACCAAGTGCTGGGCCAAGTGCTTGTGGACGATGTAGCGGACGTCGAGCAGTATGAGACGTTGTCCAACCAGCTCAAAACTCTCGAGGCGGCCAACACGCTCATCAACGCGCACTTATTTCCGTCACCTTATTAGGTTTCCAACACTAAGTTGTGCCTCTTGTATATATATCATATATATATATATACTACGTCATTGATTTGGTAACGTTATACGTTTTCCAAGCCCAGGTCAATCGAAACACGCCGACCAAACCGATCACGAATCGCTCCCATTGGTTATTCTAAAAATGCATGTCGCTGATTGGCTACATTAAATTCTCTTTTTTCTTCGTGCTTTCTGCGTAATCGGAGAAAGCCAATGAAAGGTCGAGGCGAGAATTGTGATCGGTTTAACAAATCGCGCAAAATTGGGAAACTTGTACCATACTAGTATTCATAATAATAATACATATCTTTTTTTCACGTATTGTATATATTAATCGTAGTACTAGTAATACTAGTACCCCTAACCCTATGCATCTTGGAAACACGAGTGGCAACTGCAAAGTGATTGGCCGTGACGTGGCAGCACGTGGTGCGTTCGTACTGATTGATATTAAGTATTAGTATGTAGCCAGTATTCCATCTATATTTGCTGGGTCAAAGGTCTTACAAGGCGCGGCGGTCTGCGAGGTCGTTGAGAAGTCCGAGCTCGGTCGGGTGGACATTTGAGAGCTGCCAGTTGAGTTTCCACACATGCGCCAGTCCGTGGCTGTCGCCGCACGCGAGGAAGTTGCGCTGCCGAGGATTAAAGTCCAAAGTGTACACCGCCGCCCGATGCTGCTTGGAGTCCACGGCTAACGTCACCACCGGATGCAGCTGGTTCTCCTAATATCGTCGTATTGAGAAATATGTATATATATATATATAGGATTCCATACCTTGAGGTCGAATACGTAGATATTTCCGTCTTCGGATGCGACAGAAAACACGAGCGGCCGAGTCTTGGACCATGCGACACTGTACAGGTAGTGCGTGCCCACTTCGAACGCCACCACAGGCGCTTTCTATACCCCGCCATAAGATATATATATATATGAAATAATATATGCAAAACATATGCAATATACTTGGACATACAGGAGATGCAGGGGTAATCAAAGGACCTTGTAGGCTACTACATATTATACTTGGCCGCGTACTTATATATGTCATACTTGTGCATATAAATATATATATCTAAATGATGCCATAGGATATCATATACGTCAAGTAGGTACACATATATATACTGCCAACGAATGATATAAATCAACAAATGTATATATACTTGGAGGTAGTTGTACAGCCGGACGGTGCCATCCGACGACGCAGTGAGAAACAAGCTCGGGTGGAAGGGCGAGTACTGGATGTCATACACAGGGCCGCCATGGGGTTCAAAGGCGAAGTCGAGAGCAGATCGGTAGAGGGCGCCCACGTCTGGCTTGGCGTCGAAGACACTGGCCACGCGGATCTCCCTCAGTTTCTTGTCCTTAGCGTGGGCTTCGACATGGCGGCGGACGTCGGCCGACTGGGGGGAAGCCCCCACGAGGCGCTGGGCGTTGGTGGACCACTTGAGCTCTACTCATTGGATAGTTAGGTACTGTATGCATGTAGGTACTTAATAGGGAATTAGGTAGTACTTGCCGCCTTTGAACGACGCGCCTTTGGTCTGCGATGAGAAGCACCGTGTCACAGCCCCACCTTCCGACCCAGCAATGAAGCTGCGGTTCGTGCGATCATTGGGGCGAAATGCCAACGCGATACCTACGAAATAAATGAAAATAAATGAAATACATGATACGAGGGATTGTATATCCCTCCAGAATAAATGAAAATAAATGAAATACACGATACGAGGGTTTGTATGGATTGATGAATAAATGAAACTAAATGAATGAAGTACACGACCCGAGGGTTTGTATGGATGGATGGATCAGAATAAATGAAAATAAATGAAATACAAAAGTGAATGTACGTACCCCCCCTCACCACGACCGATGCTGACTGGGTTTTGGACGAACATTTTGACGCATTGAGTAAGAATCCTTCCACCGGATACGACAGTTTGTCTTTAAGTTGCCACAGCAACACCTTGCCATCGCCACTTACACTGGCAATCTATATATATTTATCATTTATCATCGCTTTTACTACATATATATAATATATATAAATATGTGTTGAGTTCTAGTAGTCAACTTACGTGGTATTCTCGACTGGGTGTGTCGTATACCCATGCCAGCTAGTCAGTGACAAATGAGTGGTAGGTACTTTAGGTAGTATTAGTACGAGGTACTACTGAGGGAGGTACTACGTATTAGGTACTTTGAGGTACTTTTTGGGTAACGTTCATGGGTATTTTCAGTAGAATGTAGTAGGTACTTTGAACAAAACAGGTACCAACCAACCTTAGTGATGGGTTCGCGGTGAAAGTAGTCGCCAATACCCGAGGTGGCGACGAGGGGTTCTTCTAACGAGGTGTTCCACACCATGAGTTCTCCATTGAAGGACCCCGCTGCGACCATCGCCGGGTTGGTCGGGTGGTGCGCCACACACATGAGACCACTCTATTCGATGAAAAACATGAAAAAAGTCTTAAAAAAGGCTAAAAAAGGCATAAATACCGAAGTTTCCAGCACCAACGTGGGCTTGTTGGCGTTGAAATCGGCGCTAAAGAGGTTCCAGAGGCACAAAACCGATCGATAGTTGCACCACCCGCTGTGGTCGAAGCGTCCGTAGGCCACTGCGAGCACGGACCCCGTCGCGTTCCACGACACCCCCGTGCACTCTAGCTTGAGTCGCGCCGAGGGTTTCTTGGCTATGACGTGGCAGTCTGTGATTGGCCAACAGTGTATCATGAAGGGTCGCTACCATCGATGGGCTGCTTGAAGTGTGTGAAGAAGTCAAACGTGAGAGTAAACACCTTGCTCACGTGCTTGTCATCAGCGTCTTGCTCGGGTTCGAAGTCTACAGTCCATCATGCGATACCGTTGAGAGGACGACGATCGAGTGTACCGAGGAAGGCAGACGATTGATTCGAGTGTTTCATCTCCCGCAGCATGCGGTTGCCGGCACTGTTCAAGAACGCTTGCACGGCGGACGACACTTCGTCCGGCGGGTGGGTGGTCGAGCAGTCCCGGGAGATGTACTCGGTCTGGCTGCCGTTGTCCACCGCGACTGCGGTCTGGGTCGACGCCGACTCAAACTCGACCTGCACCGCATCGGTACTTGCGTTCGACGTGGCCTTCTTGACGCTGGCCTTGCTCCGAAAGGTACAGCTCCCGGCATGGCAGTCTTGGAATCGCAGCATGTTGGTCTAGTGACCTTTGGCCAAAAACGCCGGATACGTTATCCGGATGGTTGGTTGATCAAGCAAGCATCACACAAGAATCCAACACTATGGCGTCCGAAAGCAAGCCGTCGCTGCGGACGATGGCATTGAACGTCCAGACGTGCCTGGACGAGATGCTGCCAGATCACTTCCGCAATGCGTCGAGCGGGAGCTTCCAGCAGCACTGTACGTCCTTGAACATGATGCATGGACTTGCCCTACGTCATATTGCAACGGGGATGATGGATGACTATGAGATGAATCTTGTGTATGCATGAATTGACGGGGTTGGGTAGTGGTGGCCCAAAGGGAAAAAGTACCCGCGCAGAAGGCGACATGGAAGGGCGGCTTGAACTATCTCTTCGAGTCCTTGAAAATGGTACCGCGGGTTGATCTTCTCGATGAGGCTTACCCATGACATCACGTAGCACCGCGAGTGGTACGGACGGAACCAGCAGTACGTCCAATTGAAGAAGGAGGAGAAGCGACTGGAAGCACACGTCGTGACCTTGCGCAGCATGTACATGACAACTCCCTCCCTCATCGTCGCCTTCATGACCTCCGTCTAGCATCTCGTCGTCGCTGAGCACCCTCGAGCTTGAAGTGGGGCTGCGGGAAGCCGAACTCAAGGGCCGCGTCGGCGCCTACAAGGTCATGTTCGAAGTCTCCCGCGTCGCGTCCGCGCTCAGTCGTCCCGCTGTCAAGCTGCATGTACGTTCCATCTACAATTGCTTCCACACGTGACAAGCATGATCCAGGTGCACAAGCCCAACGACTCGTCCATCTCCGTGTTCTGCGATACCTTTGTCCTCGACATCCACCTCACCGGTGGCAATGTAAGTACAGAACTCCCCTAAATATCACATTTAGCATGGTCGTATACCTAGGGCGACGTCGAGTCGGCGTCGTTAACTACCGTCGTAAATGGTAGGTACACTAATCTCATAAATATCCCAATCATATATATATATGGTTGTATTAGCATGTAAATATATATATTTGGTTGTATATATAGTTGAGCAATATGTATATAGTTGTATATATAGTTGAGAATATGTATATAGTTGTATTGGCCAATTGATATTGCAATATATATATATATATATATATATATGCCCTTGTATTAGCGTATATAATTGTAGCAATATATATATATAATTGTAGCAATATATATATATATGTATATATAATTGTAGTAAAATATATATTTATAAAATTGTAGCAATATATATATATAATTATCACTTCAACTGAATTGTAGAGGTTACCAAGCAGTACCCAGAGCGAGATGCGGATCTATTGAGCTGCCTTCTTGAACTCATTTCCGGCCGCAGCGAGCGCTTTACAGTAAATATATATATATATATATATATATTTCGATATATTCAAGGATTCTGAACCATAAATATATGTAGGAAAAGCTACGGCGACTGGTGAATCGCGCGGAATTAGCGGCAAAGTTTCCGTCCAGTACGTCCAATATATATTCTATTGTTTGAAATATATTAATCAAAATATATCTATTCTTCCCCTCTTGTAATAAAATATCTATTTTCGTAGCCAACTTTGACGAGTTGGAGGACGACTTGCACGAGAATCTGCAGCTCGTATGTGCCAAGCAAGTACGTGTCTATACAAAACTCAAAAGCAAAGATATATATATAAATCATCTCATGATATATCTATCAATGTATAGAACCAGTGGACTGTCAAGCGTGGGGTCGACGGCCTCCTGCTGACCTTTCGGGATGGCTTGCAGTGCTTTCCGGTGCCCGATCCGGACGCGTCATCGGAGGCGTGGCCGGAGTGGCGCGGGTGCCTCACGTTCGCCGAGTGGAAGGGGGCGGTGGCGCTGCATTTCCTATGCGACACGGCGCTGGTCATGTCTGCGATACAGTGTCGCCGACTGGCCAGTCTGATCTTTGGCATGGACGACCAAGACGCTGCCTTGAACGAGCTCATGCACGACAGCCACGCCGTGGTCCGGATCCAGCCCCACGTGCGCTCTGTCGCACACGCCAGCACGAATGTGATGCTGCAGCGCGTGCTCCCGATGGTGCTGGAAGGGACGCTCGTGACCAAAGATATTCTCGGCGGTCTTCGCTTTGATGCGTTTCCTATTCCGGTATATATATATATATATATATATATATATATATTTGGTTGATTGATTTGGATCCATATGGGCGGAATGCGGGTGGATTATATATATAAATGCATGTATATATATATGGCATGGATGTTGTTTCGTACATATGAATGTATATATATATATATATAGTACATATTAATATATATATATATATTAAATGGATGCATAAGTATATGTTCATACAAATGTATATATGTATTGAATGGGTGCATACGTACATAATAATTACAGCGTTTCGATTTCATATATATATATATATATATATGACGGTGTCGAGACGAGTGGCTGGGCTCTGTATCTCTTGCAGAAGGAATACATATATATATACTTGTGTATTCGTCCTTCATTTGTATCCTCCCTGGACAATCGTGCATTGTTTACAATGGGGTTGGCATTGTTAACATTGAAATTGTCTAGCTACTCCGAGGCACGGGCGAAGTCCTTGGGCAGTTATTAGCGGTGGTGGGCCACAGTTTGTTCTTTCACTCGATTTTAGCCAGCTTCTTTGCCTCTGCCACCAATATATTTGGGCGAAAGGATGCCGTCAACCCCGATGTTGTGCCATCCAAAGGTACAGACAGACCGTCGTCCTCCAGATATATATATTTCTCTAGTCCAAGTGCAAGTGGAAATATCTGCGCCGACCACGATCACACTCAAACTATCAAGTGACGCCATGCCCTATGAGACGCTCGTGGAGGTGACAACCAAAGAGAACTGCTCGCTGGCAGTGCGAACGTGTGGCCTCGACACCATCGACAGCTCCGAACAAGTAGAAGACCAACTCGGGTGTGCGTGTCACTCGTTGCCGCTTCTTGTGTACTTTGTCTGCCAGCCACTCATTCTCGGCCATCGAAAGGCACTCATGGAAGCCTCAAGTAACGCGCCCGACGTGGTGACGATCGATGGTGACGACATTGGTGACGACAATGGTGACAACGATGACGACGATATGGGCGCTGGCATGTCCCTTGATGACGACATTGGGCTGGACGATGATTCGTTCTTCTAACAACCGATACATTGATGTACACCATACGAGTGCTAGTAATACTAGTAATACTACTACTATGACTACTATCTTGGTATACATACAGTGAGGGGACGGGGGGGTAGAATGCTTTGAAGACGAGGGGGAGGTACAAGGAACAACTAACTACGTATAGATTATTTGACGCAGTTAACGACCGCCGCCACTAGACCTCGGTCGCTCGTGTCGTCTACTCGTACACATCTCCATCACGTTGTGTCTACTAGTAGTAATACTAGACTCGAACGCACCTGTCGATGGTTTGGTTGGGCGACAGAACTTTGACCAGCAGTTTGGCCGACAAGTCGGATGCTGATTGGACGAGGGGGGCTGGCTGTGGTGCGTCCACGTCACCGTGATACACGTGGCCGTCCATTCCGAGGAGGTAGCTGTCAAAGTTCAAACTCGGGAGGGGGGGCTTGAGCATCATCGAAGCGCCTTTTCCCTTGTCGTAGCCCGGGGCAGCTGTTTGGAAGCCCCCGCCGTACGTCGAGCCCATAGGGGGGGGTCCATTCAGAAGGCCCGAAGCGAGCACGGAATTGCACGCCAGACACCGGTCTTTCTCTAAGCTGCACACAAATGTATAGCGAAAGTGCATGGAGAGTGATAGGGCGAACCTGGGCAGGGCCCCCGGGCGCTTGTGGATGGAATTTTTGGTTAGAAAGGCGGTTTCGGGCTCTTGGCTGAGGGAAGTTGACTTGGACACAGCTGCGTACATGCTACAAAGCAAAAACAGAGTTATAAGGCGACAGTTTTAAGCCATGAATAACGGGGATAAGGGTTGTAAGAAGATGTAAATAATAGGTGAACCTGTCGGAAAGGGTCTTGAGCAGCAACTGCATCTCGTCCTTGTCGGCTTTATTTGTTAATGCACTGAGCACATCTTCGCGGTTCATCTTGAGGTCAATGAATGCGCGCAAGTTCTCCACCTAACAACCATATACTTGAGTAAGCCGTTGCTATTGAATCGATGATTGTTCGGGACGAACTTGCTGGCGCACGCGCGAGTCATAGAGCACTTGTTCCTTCACTTCGAGGAGATCCCTACCAGTTGAGCCATCATGCATGCACTCATCCATTGTGCAAGTATATCATGTATCTACATCTATCTTTACTTTTTGTCGGCTTTACTCGCAGACAGGTTTTGCACCAAGTCTTGCAAGTCGCGGCAATTCCGCTTGAACTCGTCCTATTCGATTCGGTTAGTTCATCGATCCATAGCATTCACGAACTTACCTCGTCTTCGCTGATGGCAGTCATGGCTTTCTGGAGCTGCTCAATGATCTCTTCGTACTTGCTCTCGATGATCAAGTCGACTTTGACTCTGTCAGCCTTTTCAATCAACGCCCGCTGGACATCTTCCACCGCGCTCGTGTTATCATCCAGCGCCTTCCTCGTGTCGTTCATCATATCGTGAATTCCTCGACTTTGCTTGGCAAACTTGTCGCTTGTGTCCTTGAGAATGTCCTCCCGCCGCCGGTTGTCGTCGGCATACTGGTCAAACCACCGAGAGAGCGGCATGTTTCCGTGCAGAATGTCCTCGGACGTGAGTACTTTGACTTCGACTTCCTCTTCCATTTTCGATTCCAATGCCACAACACTGGCCTTGGTCGCGTCCACGGCGGCCCTGACCGCGACCACTTCGTGCTCCACCCGCGTAGCAAACACCCCAAACTCGACCTTTTGGTTCTCCACCGCCTTGTCCACAAACTTCAACTCGTCGCGCACGTTCTACAGCAACGTTCACAGCTTTCCCATGCATTCTTCATTATGTATGTACCTTGAGCTGGCCTTCGAGCCCCTCGACAGCATCAATTCGCTTGGACTCCTTGACGATATCCGCCTCCAACTCGACCACTCTCTTCTTCGCCCCGTCCAGCGCCGCCTCTAACGCCAGGACTTTGGTGTTGACCTTTTCCAGCTGTTTTTGGCCATGGGCAGTGTCCTTCTCGACAGCTTCGAGGCGGTCGCGCAGCTGGTCGAACTCCCCTGCCATGCACCGCATCGCAATCGTTTGCATGCGAATGGCTTTGATCAGAACCTTCTTGGGCACCCGTGGGTGCTCGAGCACCTTGACCCCCTGCAGCTCTTCGCTCAAGTTGTGCCATAGCTCGGGGGTGCCTAGCCCATTGAGCACCAAGTCGTCCACGTCGTTTCGCTGGATGTGCATCATCCTGACAAGGGTACCGGAGATGCCGTTTCAAACGAGAGATCCCGGGCTATTTTTATCCAAATAACTAGCCGAAGCTGGTGCTGGTGCCCCGAACAAGTGCCACTAACGACGAAATGGGCCGGAAGTCCATGTTCCAAGCTGGTAAAATGAGCCGTGTTATTGGGGGAAACCGAAGGAATATGATGTCTGTGTGGTTAGGCCTGTCAACCAAGTTTTCCAGTCAATACAAGACGCCATTCGAAGACACGTCGCTGGATGCCGCCACCGCCGCCACCATGCGCTCGGAACGCAAGCTCAAGCTGCAGGAAGAGGTCCTGCTCCGCCAACAGGACAAGATCGCGGCCGAGGTACAGACAGCTACGCACACCCCTTTCACTGTCATTTGAATAAGTGTGCAATCAGATTCAAAAAATCGAAGCGGCCAAGAAAATGATTCAGAGGCGGCAGGCCCGCGAAGCCAGACGCGTCGCTGCAGAAGTCAATGCCGCTGCCACAGTCGTGCAAACCGCCGTCCGAAAGCACCTGACTCGACGCAAGGAGCTGCTGGCCGCGGATGTCATTTCATTGGCGTGGCGGCAGCATTGCCAGAGGGTGGAGGCCCGCCGACAAGAAATAGAGGCAAAGAAAGCAGCTGCGCAGTGTATTGCAGGAAGTTTGCGTCGGCACGTTCGCCGCAGACAGAGGGAGCAAGGTGCAGTCGCCGTCCAGCGGGCCGGCCGGAAATTTCTGGCCAGACGTCGGGCGGAGGACGAGAGGCTGCGGAGGATGGCGATCGATCGACAGAGAAGAACCGCGGGGGCCTTGAAGATCCAGAGCGTTTTCCGGTGCCATGTTGTACGGGACACCTTTCTGGACATCCGGGACAGCGTTGTGCAAGTCCAAGCCGCGATCCGAGGGCACCTCTGTCGACGACGGCGGCACGAGCAGATGCCGCCAGCGTCCGGACTAGAGATAACCCCCTGTGACGGCGAAGAGCTTGGCCCTGAACACGACGACGATGTAGAGATCGACATGCTGGACCAGAAAACGCAAGTAGAACCAGCCATACCGAGGGAAGCTCTTGGTGCGTTGTCGCCTGTGTGGAGGAGACGCAGCAGCGTCCAGCTTCCCAAGTTGGCTTTATCCCCCAAGCAGCTCTCGGACGACATGTCGGAGGGACGGATGTCTTTATCAGATATGGGGGGCTCTTCGTCTCCTAGCCGCCGGCTACAAAAGCCCTGTCGACAGCGCCGCAAGACGATCTCCGTGACGTTGAGCCCTATGCCGTACAAGACAGTGCTAGTGCACCAAGACCAAGGTGATAACTCGACAGCCGCCTGCCGCCAACGGTACCACGAGGACCTGCGACGAAAGCTGTTGTTGCGAAAGGAACAAGATCGTTTGAAAGAGCTGGAAAGACAAAAAGTATTAGCCGACCTCGAGGTATATATATACTGTTAGTCTGCATGTCTGGGGTGACGATACGACATGTAGAGGGAGTTGAGCGAGCGGTTAAGCTTGGAGCGCGAAGAGAAGAGAGTGAGGCTGGAGCGCAAGTTCAGTCGACGACGAGTGAAGGAAGCTTCGAAGCGAGGACGGAATGATGCTATTGAGGTGGAGTATTCAATGATGTAGCATGCAAATGTTGAGTGGTTCGGGGGTTGTCACGATGTAGAGGGAACGCCGAGAGATGGCCGCTATGGAGCGAGAAGAAAGGGCGAGTCGAGTGGCGTGGAAAGTCATTGCACGGAGAGAATCGGACAAAGTCCAACGACAGTTGAAACAAGAGTTGCTGGACAAAGCAGCAGCAACGCCGATGAATCGGTATGAGCGCAAACCAAGGGGGCCGATCGTTCCGGCAAAACTGTTGCAGCAGTCGATGGTTGTCGTGGTGACCAAGGCCTCTGAAAGCACGATCAAGAAGACCGCCACGGTGAAGAAAAAGAAACGACAGAAGAAGGGCTTTACCGTGCAGACGACGCCTGAGAGCAACCAAGAAATGGACGGGATCTCCGAATCTACAAGGGAAGATCGGGTAGAACCCAGGGAAGAAGATGGAGACTACTGGAACGACTGTGCATTTGACGACCTTGTCGACGAAGCGCAATTGGCGAGTTTGATCGTCACTTAATATATGCCTTAACGAACGATGGTCATCATTCAACGTTATAGCATCCAGCCAATCAGGGAACTAACTGAGTACTAAGCTTAGTATTAAGCTTACTGTTCGTGCTACTATTTTATACCGCTAGAAGCCACACAACAGATAGTTTTAAGTGTCACCTAAACATGTCTTGAAGACAAGCTCAACGATTGGGCATTCAGAATAGCTTAGGATAATGACGTGCTGCAGTTTCACGTCAGATTTAGCCACGCACGAAACCAACGATGATTTTGTCCTTGATGAGCTGTGGTCATTTGACATTCCGTCATGGCCACAAGACAACATTATGTTCAGGTTTGCTGGCTTGTTGGGGGTGTCGCTGGTGTGGTCGGCGGCGCCCCGTGCGCCGTCGCAGGGCTGGCCAGCTCGCTCGACTACTTTCGAACGCTACCAGTGTCTGCCGCCTGTGGCAAAGCCGGGCCCTGGGGCGCCGCGGCCACCCCCATGGACTTTTTGTCAACGTACAACGACGACCTGCCCGCCGCATGCTTGATCTCATCCTGCCGCACAGACTTCGACACGAGCGCGTCCAACTTCCAAGCCATTGCGTGCGACGAAGCGGCCCAGTTGGGTTCGAGTCTGGCCGGCGTCCGGAACTTCTGCCGCACGTTTGCGCTGACCACGACATCCCCGCGATGCACCGACGCGGACGCGGTGGACCTGGGCCCCCTCACCGCACCATGCTTTGGCCTCGTGCCCCGCAGCACGCAGCTAGCCGACGTCGTGTCCCCAGACACGTGGGCGTCGTACGCGGCCGGCGTGTGCAACGCCACCTCGTGTGTGACGTCCATGCTGAACCGGATCAACACGCTGTCGGATTGTTACTTTCCGTGGTCAGCACTTGGCGGGGCCCCCGTCTCCCCCAAAGGGTACTACAAAGCCACCGTCAATTCCATGTGCAGTTTGGACATTTGTACCGACTACTACTGGTGGTCGGGTCAGACCAACTCGTATTTGTGCACGTGGCAGCCCCCCACAAATGTCACGGGCTCGTGTGCAGCCAGTCTGGGGGCGATCTACGCCACCGCCGTGTCCACCGCGTGCGCCACTGCCGCCTTCAACGGCACGACCTCATTGTTTCTGCTCCAGTCGACTGTGTTGTCGTCCGAGTACTTCTCCGTGGCCGAAAAGTTTGCAGCGATTCCGACTTGTGTGTCGGATGTACTGAAGGTGCAACGGAAGCTAACCAGTGTGGCCAATTGCATCTCGACCGAGCTTTCGTTTGCTATCAACACGTTCGTACAAGTCGTCACGTCGGCAAACACGACGACGTCTAACCCCTTGTGTACAGCTAGTGAATCCAATGGGTTGTTGATCAAGCTTAACCACGCTACGGCGGTCGACTGTTCAGTATTGAGCGACAAGTTTGTCGTTTGGTGGGACGTGTTGGTTCCAGACCAAGTCAGCGATTTAGCCATCGTTATCAAGTCCGTCGCTTGTTGGAACGCAGCAATAGCCTATGCCAACTCGTTCCCAACTTGTGAATACGTTGACGTAGCCAAAAACGAAGTCGCCACGGGTGTGTCTGCCGTTGATCGGTTCAGTAGCTTCCTCTTAGCCGCCCAAGGCGCCGCCAACCCGCCGCCGCCCCCCACACCGAGCCGGACGTTGTCTCCGTCTAGTTGCTTTCAAGCCAAGAACTACCCAACCTACTCGTTCTTTAACAACGTGACTCTGTCTGCCGCCTGCGTCAGAGTCGGACCGTGGACAGCCTCCGCCAAACCTATCGACTTTCTCACGTCTCTAAGTGAGTTCATTCCGTTTGCATGCAGCCAAAGCGCGTGTCGTAACGACATTGACACGAGTGCGTCCAACTGGCAGAGCATCTCGTGTGACGAAGCCCAAGCATTTGGGTCCAGCTTACGCAACGTGTACAACTTGTGCAAAGTGCTGCTGGTGGCTCAACCTGGGAATCGAACTTGTACCGACACGGATATCATTAGTTTGGGAGGTATGACGTCGCAGTGCTTTGACCAATCTACTTTGTCCACCAACCTGGTCGACATTGTCGTCCCGGTCAGTGTATCATCATACGCCACTGGACTATGCAATCAAACGTGCCTGAATTCAGTGCTGAACCGCATTGACACGCTGTCGTCGTGCGAAGTGGACACGTGGCCTCATCTCGGTGGCTACAGCATGTCCCCCAAAGTCGTGTACAAGGCGTACGTGAACGCTATGTGCAATCTCGACTTGTGCAACAACTACTATTGGTGGTCGGGTCAGTCGAATTGGTACATTTGCGGATGGTCTCCGCCGTCGAACGACTTTACAGCGTGTGGTGCGCAACTGGCTGCGATGTACACGACGAAGTTCTCCACGACCTGCGCTTCTGCCGTGTTCAACACTTCGTCATTGACGTTTGTTCTCGACCGTGCAGTCCTCGCCACCGACTACTTCCAGAAAGTGCCCTTGTTGGCGACCTCGTCGTCCTGTGTACAGGACTTGACCACTCTCCGCACCAAACTCACCGCATTGACATCGTCATGTGTGCCCACCACGCTGTCCTTTGCAGTGGCAACCATTCAGCTTGTGGTGACCAACCTGTCCTCCTTGTCTTCCAATACTACGGCTTGCAACTCTTCCGAAACCAGCGCATTAGCCGCGCAGCTAGCTCGTCCAGCGTCCACGTATTGTGCGCTATTGTCCACCTCAATTTCAACCTGGTGGGATGTGTTCGTTCCAGAGCAACTCAGCGACTTGGTGCGCGTTGCCAAGTCCGTTGCTTGTTGGAGCGCAGCAATAGCCTACGCCAACTCGTTCCCAACTTGTGAATACGTTGACGTAGCCAAAAACGAAGTCGCCACTGGGATATCGGCCAAAGATCGGTTCAGCAGCTTCCTCTTAGCTGCCCAAGGAGCCGCCAACCCGCCGCCACCACCCACGCCGAGCCGGACGCTGTCTCCGTCCAGTTGCTTTCAAGCCAAGAACTACCCAACCTACTCGTTCTTTAACAATGTGACGCTGTCTGCCGCCTGCGTCAGAGTCGGACCGTGGACAGCCTCCGCCAAACCCACCGACTTTCTCACGTCTCTAAGCGAGTTCATTCCGTTTGCATGCAGCCAAAGCGCGTGTCGTAACGACATTGACACGAGTGCGTCCAACTGGCAGAGCATCTCGTGTGACGAAGCCCAAGCATTTGGGTCCAGCTTACGCAATGTGTACAACTTGTGCAAAACACTAACCCTATCCCCTGGGAATCGAACCTGCACCGACACGGACTCGACCACGTTGGGCGGAATGACCAGTCAGTGCTTTGGGTTGGTGCCAACTGCCACCTCCCTCGTCGACATTGTCCTCCCAGCTAGTGTATCATCCTATGCCACTACATTGTGCAATCAAACGTGCTTAACCTCGGTGCTAAATCGCATCGATACGCTGTCCGAGTGTGCACTGGACTGGCCCACTCTCGGCGGTGCTCCCGTCGTCTCTAAAGAATTGTACAAAGCGTATGTAAACGCAATGTGCAATCTAGATTTATGCCAAAGCGTCAACTACTGGTACTACGGCCAAAGCACGACGACGTACGTTTGCAATTGGACGCCGCCATCGTCTTCGTTTTCATCGTGTTCGTCCAAGCTGGCGGCACTGTACACGACTCCGTTTTCACCAGCATGTCTCCGCGCAGCGTTTAATGATTCGTATGTTCTGGTCGTGCAATATGTGGTGCAAGGGAACTACGAAGCCCACACTCGGGCGATGCACCCGACTTGCATTTTGGACGTTGCCGCTGTGACCAACAAGCTGAGCGCTATCTCCCCGTCGTCTTGTGCATTGAGCTTGCAGTTTGCGTTTGAGACGTTGATGACTGTCCTGACCTCGACAAAGGAATCCTTTTCGTTGACGAGCGCAACCAATACCACTTGGACTGGGGTGTGCAACTCCACCCAAGTAACTGCGTTGATCGCCCTTCTCGACGCCCCGGCCCCCCGCGTGTGCTCGAAAACCAACCCAGCCGTGATTCTAACCTGGTGGGACGTGTACTTGCCATTTCATTTGGCGGATTTGGCTTGGGTTGGCACGTCGCCTAGCTGTGTATGGGAAGCCACAACTTATTTGAACTCGTTTCCGAGCTGCGAATGGGTCGACACTTTGACCGAGCAGGCTGTCGGCACGTCGGTGGCGTCACGAGTTGGCCGCTTCCTCCTAGCCACTCAAAAGCACGACTTCGAGGGCGTGAATCCCTTCAACAACACGGCAAGTACCAATGTCATTACACTTCCAACCTCGGGCGCAACGTGCGGGGCCAACACCGCCGCCTTCACGTACTATCAGAACGTTCCCCTGTCCAGCACTTGCGTCGGCCCATGGCCAGCGACCGCCACCGCCGTGGACTTGCTCAGTAGTTCGTTCCTTCCGGCTGCGTGTGCCCAAAACCCGTGTCGACAGGATATCGCCTCCAGCGCCGCCAACTTTCAGAGCATCGGCACTTGCAACGCGTCCCAAACCACCGCGACAAGTCTGACCAAACTTGGAACCTTGTGCTCGAATTTGACGGTGACCACGAACTCGACGGCTACACGCTGCACAGTAGCCGACCGCGCCACTCTTGTGGAGTCTGTTCCGTCCGAGTGTTTTGGCCTGGTACCATCGGCGTCGTCGCTGCTGGACTTGGTCCTACCAGTCAACTTAACGGTCTCGTACAATAGAATATGCGCCTCGAGTTCGTGCGTCACCGCCATATTGAACCGTATAGACTCCCTGCCAGCCTGTTGGATGACGTGGGACGCCATGGGTGGGGCTCCGATCATCCCCAAAGCACTGTACAAATCGTACGTGAATGCCATGTGCAGCTTGGACTTGTGCGTGGACATGAACTACTGGTGGTACTACGGCACGCCGACCAAGTACCTGTGTAGTTGGTCGTCGACTAGTACTACTACTAGTAGTAGTACCTGTGCGTCCAAATTAGCAGTGGCCTACACGACTCCGTTTTCGTCGTCGTGTGTGGCTGCGGTATGGCCCAACCAAACCCAACCACGAACAACGTACTACGTCCTCCAACAAGTGATACAGAACGACTATTTCTACCTCAGCCGCAGGCTTATGAACGAGCCGTCTTGCAAGCTGGATGTTGCCGCCATGGCCACTCAGCTCGACTCAATAGCATCGTTCACGTGTGCTGGATCAACTTCCACCAACTCGATCTTGCTAGGTATCAAAATTATTCAAACAGTGCTGGCTTCGCCTATCACGCCTCAAGAGGACTTGGCCGTTTGCACTGCGAGTGAGATGGCCGTCGTGAGAGATCGACTATCGCTAGCCCCCTCTAGCTCCTGCGTCAGCGTCTTGTCCAATATCAAGACATGGTGGGACGTCTACACACCTCCAGAACTAACGGATATGGCAACTTTGGCCACTTCCCCTCAATGCGTATCGTCTGCGGTGGTGTTTGCAGCCGACCTACCCGTTTGCGAATGGATCGAACCAACCAAAGGCGAGTTCTCCGGGGTCGGGATAGCGGTGGCTACGCGCGTCACATCGTTCGTCTTGGCAGGCCAATCCGTCGCCAGTGTTCAGTCCGGTGTCGCCATCCCGACCTCGTCAGCCACCACGTGCTACTTCTCATCCGCCCAAGCCAATATGTTTGCCCACTTCCGGAACCTCCCGTTCTCGAACGCGTGCGCCAAGGCAGGCGGGTGGAACGCGTCCGTGAAACCCACCGACTTGTTAACCACGCTCAAGGCGTCGCTTCCCCTCGCCTGCGCGCTGCCCTCCTGTCGTAGTGACATCGATGCCAGTGCCACCAACCTGCTCTACATGCCGTGCAACGAAGCCCAAGTGCTTGGTACTGCCATGACTCGACTTCGCTCGTTCTGTCAGTCGTTCGCGCTTGCCCTCCCTCCGGCGCTGCCGTGCACCGACTCTGATCTCGTCGAGTTAGGACCGCTGACAGCGCAGTGCTTCAACGTCGTACCGGCTGCCACGTCACTGGTGGATATTGTCCTGCCGTCCAATTTAGCCACGTACCCAACGTGTGTGGCGTCCATACTCGGCAGAATTCGAACGTTGTCGTCGTGTTATGCCGACTGGCCGTCACTGGGCCAGGCCCCTGTGTCTGCCAAAGACATCTACCAGAACTACGTCACGTCGTTTTGCAACTCTGAGAATTTCCAAGCCGCCAATGACTTTACCTCGTGCAACGCCCGCGTGGCTAACCTCTTCGCCACGACCTTTTCCGACGCCTGTGTGCAAGCCCAGTTCAACGGACAGAACCCCACGTTCATCTTGCAGTCGACGATCACGGGCACAGCGTACTTTTCCCTCAACCGCCGACTTGTCACGACACCGGCGTGTGCCAAGGACATTGCAACGGTTGCAAGTCGACTCAATTCAGTCGGCAATTGCTCCACCGACCTCACACTAGCCATCAACACGTACCAAGCGGTCAGCGCGATCGCGTATGCGTCGAACCCGGCGCTGCCGTTGTGCTCGGCGGTTCAAACGAGTCAGCTAATGACTCTTTTGAGTGCGCCAGCTGCCACCGTGTGCACCTTCAACCACTCGGGGGTGGTTGCCGTCCAGTGGCGCGATGTGTTTTTGCCACGACACTTGGCGGATTTGGCCACGCTGGCGACTCCTAGCTGTGTTGCGGCAGCCTTAACCTACGCCAAGACGTTTCCCGCCTGCGAATATTCCGACAGAAGTAACGGCGACGTCGTACTGGGTATCGACGCCGCCACTCGAATCTCTGCGTATTTGGTGGTCGCCGAATCGTTCACCAATCATTCCACGACTCTGAACTCCAATGCCGCCGCCACGTGGCAGCCTGGGTGGAGACTGCTTGGTGGCCTTACGATTGTCCTACTTTTGCTTTAGGATTAGTGTGGGGTTTCCCTACTAACATGTTAAAAGTGATATGCATTTCCTATACCCATTGTATGGCCATCGCCATGACTGAAAACTCAGTATCCTTCTCCACTGTACCATAGTACTTTAGAGTGACATAGGTCACATGGAATTCTGAAACGGCCAGGACGGTTTCATACTGAAACGGTGTCACAGTTTCACAGTCCCACGATGCAGCGGTGATGAAGTCCAAGCGGCAGCTCAAGTACAAGTTGCAAGGTGATAAGCCAAAGCTTCGGCCCGCCCCATCGCCACAGTTGGTTCAGTTCGAAGAAGCAGTGCGGAATCGGGACCTGCAGACTCTTGTGTGGCTGATCGACAGTGGAGTTGTGGATGTGAACCAGGAATCGGCAGGAGGCGAGACGGCTGTGATGGCTGCGGTGGCAGCCAACAACGTACTGGCACTGGAACTCCTATTCAGACGGTACAACAGTCGCAGACCCTTCCAGCCTATATCTATGACATGCTTGCAAAGATATACATATTCAGC